GAAGCTAAAACCAGGAAACTATTGGTATGATAAAGTATCCGGTCTTTGGGGAAAGGTGAATATGGAATCTTTAAATGACTTTTTTATTTGATTTCTTTGCTGGAATTATTTGCATCATTACGGGATCTGATAAATTGTGCTATCATTGACAGGAGGGACAGAAACCTTTGAAGATAATTAGTCCCCATCTAAATGTTGGTGGCTCTATCAAGCCAGATGCTAGCAATGGAAACACACAAGTTTTCATAAATGGTCGGGAAATTACAAAAGTAGAACTTCGGATGCTGCAGGTTGAAATTTGTAAACATGTAATTTTGTTAAGATGGTCCTTATTGTGCTAGGATTATTAAAGATCATTTTGGTGAACATTGCAGTTGGCAGGGGTTCAAGTTGCAGGCAACCCACACTTTGGGTGAATGAAGATGGGTCATACCAAGAAGAGGGACAAAAAATACGAAAGGATATATATGGGGAAAGGTATATACTACATACATATTTCAGTATGCTTTCTGCCTCTATATGTTTATTCCTTTTTTTTTAATTGATTTGTTTTTTTGGTGAATGAAGATGGTTCTAATTAAGCATTCATTTATTGTTCAAATTAATATTTAGGCTGGAACAAAGCTCGTTTGTGCAGTCTTGTCACTGCCTGTTCCTTCTAAATCTTCAAATAATTGTGGGGAGCAGCTGAACAGCATGGCCAGCATATCTGTTCCTGACTACCTTGAGCAGCGCACACTACAGAAAATTCTTTTGGTTGGATCTACTGGATCTGGGTCAAGCACCATATTTAAGCAGGTAGATATTAACTGGGAATCATATCTTTACATTCATTGCTCTGTAGTACTACTTATATGCAGATAAATTTTCTATGCTAGAAACAGTTTCTGTAAAATTCTCATGTCCTCTTTTATTGAAGGAGATCCAAATTTGATTTAAAGAATATAATTAAGTGTATCAATCCTTTTTTTTTTTTGTTTCCACATGCCAGCAACAATACTGCCTTACATTTGGGTATAATTCTATGATGGTTCTGTAGAATTTATATATTTCAACACTTGTTACACTACAGTTTTACAGAGATAAAAAGTGCAAATAGACTCTCAGGGATAGTGTGTTACAGTATTTATGATTCTCAAGTTTAAGAGAAAGGGAAAATTTATATTCCTAATTGTAACCCTGAATTTTTTTGAACTTTTAACTTTAGTGTTTCTATTTACCATTTTGCCTGCACATAACTCATTATTGTTTCCTATATGTCTTCATTTTTTATGTGCGGTTGATGGTGTATGTTTTTGTGATAATGTAAGATTACTGCTTAAAGACAGAATGTAAAATGTAAAGGAAATTAATTAATTAGTCAATTAAATGAAATTGTTTGTTTCAGGCGAAGATTCTTTATAAAGATGTACCATTCTCGGAGGATGAGTGTGAAAATATCAAGTTGACTATCCAGACCAATTTGTATGGCTATCTTGGCATACTTCTTGAGGGCCGTGAACGGTTTGAGGAGGAAAGTTTGGCTGAAATGAGGAAAAGGAAATGTTCCAAGGAAACTGACCCTGAAGGTGAGGCTACATGTTGATTTTATTCTCCAAGTCATCCTTTTGACCTACATATATCCATGGATTTGCTACTATATATGCAGGCTTCTATCATTCAACCCTGTCTCTTTTGGCAAAATTGGTCTTAATCTGAAAGGAACAAGCTTGTTAGAACTAGAAGTGCGCACATGTCTCCTGCTGAATGTTCAAATATGACATTGTTTATGGTATTAATAGGTTGCTTCGTCTGAAAACAAATTTCTTTACATGTGGAGATCATTGACGATTTTTTTTTTTTGGAAAGTTCATTGAGGGTTTAAGTCTTTAATTTTTCCCACCCCAGTAAATTTTGAAGGGCATTTTAGCATCTTATATCCAGCATGATCATATTGACATTAATTAATAGCATCTATTTTGGAAGTATCTGATTATTTTGTTTTTCATGTTTATTGGCAGGGAGTATTAATGATAGTGATGGCAAAACTATCTATTCCATTGGCCCGAGGCTTAAAGCATTCTCTGACTGGCTTCTGAAGACTATGGTGTCAGGCAATTTGGAAGCCATTTTTCCGGCTGCTACTCGTGAATATGCACCATTGGTTGAGGAGCTATGGAAGGATGCAGCCATTCAGGCAACTTACAACCGCAGAAGTGAATTGGAAATGCTACCTAGTGTTGCTAGTTATTACTTGGAGCGGGTAAGATCATGCTTGATACCCTTGTGCTTGTTACATATCACTAGTTTTATGTATCTGAAGTTTGCTTGAACATCATTTGTCTCTTTTAACTAGAAAAGGTAGCAGTAGCTGTTGTCTTAAAGAAAAGAAGGTGACTGGTTTTGGGATAACAATCTTGTAGAAGCCATTAATTGAATTCTATGACTGACTTTCTGAATTGGCTCAAGGCACTGAAGGTGAAAATGGTGCTTAGCATTTTTTATGCGACACCGATCTGGCTGTCTTTGGCTGAGAAGAGTACTTGAAGAAAGCAATTAATCATGTTGACTTTTGACTTCATGACCCTAATTCATGTTGTGGAACCAATGAAGCACCAATAATCTTGGAACAATCTTCAATAAATTGGGCTTCTGACATTTTTGGGCCCAAGACTTTAGAGAAGAAATTAGAGTTCTAATTGCATTTTGTGTTATGTGGTAAGCACATTATACATGAGGAGCAGTTACATCAACATGAACTAATTGAGGTGCATGCGGCTAACCTACATTGCCAGATTTAGTTCTCGATACTACTGTTTATTTAAAAAAATGCTATGATGAAAATCCTAATCAAACTGTATGACTACTTGTGGGTACTTAAGAATAATACTCCTTCCATCTTTCCAAGTTGTTGTCTATAGCTAAACTCTAGCATGATGTTCAAATTGAACATTTCAATTAATTGCTTTTATGAAAAATTGTACCCTTAGAATGTGGTTAGAGGAAACCATTATTTCAATGAAAGGAGAAGGTGCTGATTTGTATGTGTTCATTGGAGTATATAGACGTTGTGGTTTTGCTTGTGAAGATGAACACATGGGGATGATGTTGGGTTTTAGAGATATGGTGTTATAAGTGTGGTACTCATAAGTCAACTGTTTCTGCAACATTAGGATTAATGCTTCTTGAAGAAAATAAAAATATCCTCGGAATGGAGAATCTTATCAGTTCTACAAAGATTCTTGTTTGCTGCACAAGCATTTAGCCTCATCAAGCAAGTGGATAAGCAGAGCCAGGAGTTCCTTAATCATGGCCCATTTAGCAATACACTTGCCTTTATTTAGGTAATGCATGACATTAGGCGACCTCTTAGTGAGCTCCATTCTGAACACTTACTCATCGAGCAATATCAACCAGCGCTCATACTTGCACTTGTTTGTTGCAGTATGTTTTTTGTTTTGAGCTTTTGTGCCCAATAGTTGGTTTGACCAGTGCTAATTTTTTGTTAATTGTTTTCTAATGCTTTTTTTTTGGTACACTCCAGGCGGTTGAGATATTGAGACTGGACTATGAACCCTCAGATTTGGATATTCTATATGCTGAGGGTGTTACTTCATCAAATGGGCTTGCCTGTGTAGACTTTTCGTTTCCCCAGTCTTCACCTGATGAAACCATAGACACTGCTGATCAGCATGACTCGTTGCTCAGGTGGGTGCCAATATTGAGTGCATGCTTTAGTCACATTTTTTTTTTCAAATGTATCTGCATCTTGTGAGGCCTGTAAGTATTATTGATTGCTAGTTGCTACGGAGCAATTGGTACATAAATCACTTAGTAAAACTGTGTACTCTCGGGTGATCTAAATACTTAATTGAATTTTGCAAACCTATTCGGTTATAACTTAATATTCTCATTTGGAGTGTGTTAAACTTACAGTTTCTGATTGGTTCTCAGGTACCAACTAATTAGAGTGCAAGCAAGAGGCCTTGGAGAAAACTGCAAGTGGCTAGAGATGTTTGAAGATGTTGGAATGGTCATCTTCTGTGTTTCCTTGAGTGACTATGACCAGTTCTCTGCTGATGGGACTAATAAGATGCTACTGAGCAAGAAATTCTTTGAAAGCATCGTTACTCATCCGACATTTTATGAGATGGACTTCCTTTTAATACTAAACAAATTCGATTTATTTGAGGAAAAGATAGAACGGGTACCATTGAGTCGGTGTAAGTGGTTTGATGATTTTCATCCGGTGATCAGTAATCATCGTTCAAATGCAAATAGCAACAGCATTAATCATAATCCAACGCAGGGACAGCTGGGCTTCCATTATATTGCCGTCAAGTTCAAGAGGCTTTATTCTTCGCTCACAGGGCGGAAGTTGTATGTTTCTAATGTGAAAGGATTGGAACCCAATAGTGTCGATGCAGCTCTTAAATTTGCAAGGGAGATTCTAAAATGGGATGATGAGAGAGCCAACTTCAGCTTAAGTGAGCACTCATTTTATAGCACAGAAGCAAGTTCCTTTTCTCATTGATGTCTAATTTTCTAGGACCAGAAAGGTTTGTATTAATTCATGAATGCTAGTGTACATACAAGTAATGATGGAATAGTAAATCTCCACATCTTATACAGTGAGGTCAGAAGATGTGTTTTTGTACAATGTATTGTGTGGCTGGCTGCCGCCTTGAACACAATTCATTACATTCAATTGTAAGATAAGATGAAAATGTATGATTCAGTGATAGCTCCTCAAGTATATTACAGTTGTGAAAAAAATCTCCTTGGGTTGTGAGAATTCCATGTACAAGGTCACCATATCCCTTCTGTTCTAACAATTCAGCACCATGCACATCGGCGGTTAATGGTTCACATATTACTTTATTTTCTGGATATGCTTTGTTCTTTTTCACATCTCTATTAGATAAATAGCCAAAATCACTATTTATTTATTTATTTTTTCTATAAATACGAGCTCAAGTAATAAATTTATATATCACAAACTGTTTTAACAAAAACCAGTAAAAGTCATTTTTCTATTTTCATCCCTTAAATGTAAGTATAAATGTTTAATACAAAAATGAAACAATGACATTCATGTGTAAACAAATTTGCATTGTAACTAGATTGATGTGTATTACTAGCTTTCCAAAAATGAGAGAATCGAACTGATCAAACCCAAAACTCTCCAACCGTAGAAGGAGAGCAACCTGATCCAGAAGAATAATTATTTCAGTCATCTATGTAACTATACCGTGCCTGCTCATCTGCGTTCAACAAAATGTTTTTAATTGCCCAACCTAGTGCCGCCATTTGTTCATTCAACGGGAGAAACTCTCGCTGTACGTATTGCCTGCTATCCTCGATCAGTTTAAACCATTCTTTGAGAATGAAGTCTGAAGAATCACTAGCCTTCATCATGCTTTCCAACCTACTAGAATGGAGGGCCTTGCGAACATAGCATGCCTGGAACAATGCAAACATTTAGCGTCACCTTTAACCTCAGCAACTGTAAACATAAGCTTGTGTATACATTAGATATCAAACTAAATTTTGCACAGATTTTAAAAGAATTCATTTTTACCTGCAACAATCCCATGATAACATCAGCTGTGCGAGCCCCTTCACGTAAGCAAAGAAGGATGCCTTGCTAGAGTTTCATAAGAGGCAAATCAAAAAAAGCTATGAGTGAGATATCATTATACATAAGCACCATAGTTTAAGCAGCAGCTAGTAAGGATTTCATTGTGCATGCACCTCTCTAGTTCTTGGCAGTCCACGGTAGAAGATCTCCATGCATATGAAATAATAATCCTCGTTTCTTACAGACTGCATTGCACTCATCGATAATTTAGGTAATTGACCCTTGGGATTCAAGCCCCCCATCCTGATTCGCCATGGCTCTTTGCCTAATCCAAATTTCAAAAATTGACTTTGATCTCATCTATCTTTAACAGTTAGTTCTAAAACAGATCATGTAAACGATGCACTAAAAGCTAAAGCACAGCCACGAGAAACTTCACCTTTTCTCCACAAAAAATTGATGTTTTCTTCTTTACTCACTTCTTCAGGTGAAGGCACATATCCCATTGCAATCCATGTATCAAGTATGATTTCAAGTCTATCCTGAACGTTGGAAAAGAAAAAGAGAGAAACAAAGAAGAAATAGAATTAATGAAACAGATAGTTTTGAATTTTCATGAGGAAAATTTCGCTCAAAATTCTCCACCCACCCACCCCCCAAAGAAAAAAAAAAAAGATGTACCAAGTTTCATTTACAGAACGAACATGACTTGGGTTGGCATACAGAAACATGATAAAGACATGCAAATTTTTTATTTCTCTAGAGAAACAATTAAAATATGAGAAAGTTGATTTGCTCTTCAATAATTGAACACGTGTTGGGATAAAGAAAATGCCACCTTAGTCAAGGTTTGGAGATGGACGTGCTTGAGCCCCTGATATATTCCAAAGAGGTCAATTATTGAGAAGAATGGGTATAGAATGAAAGGTAGGCCTGTTTGCAATCTAGCACATTAAGGACAAGTCAAGAAACCATGCCGGCATTTAGCTTCACAATGAAATCAGTTAAATGATCAAGCATATTTCTAATTTTTCTAAAAGAAAAAGAATATAAGATTTTCCACTAAATTCTAACTCCAATGTAACAATTCAAGTGTGGCAGCCATTACTTATATGTTTCATTTTCAATATAGAAAAGGGAACTTTGGCCAGAGACAGATTACAAATTTTGCCTCCATTGAAATTTATCTAGAGAAGATTAAAATGGATTTTCTAGAGTATTCTTTAACCCTTGGTGCTCTGGTGTTTATTCATTTGATATTTTTTAAATCATATGGTGGACACTTGCATGAGATAATGAACTAATTTAAATGACAAGACTTCTAAAAAAGCACATCTCCATTAGATAAGTAACCTAAATCACAATTCACTATTAACAACTATTTTTTTTTAGCGTCCTCAATTACGTTTTAATTGCAACAATGAAATTTTTTTTTAGTTTCATAAGTATCAAAATAGCCAAACTTTATTTACACCTATATAATATACAATAAAATATTTATATTTTATTTGTCCCCCTTCCATGAAATTAAATTCAAATTAGCAAAGATTTTAAACAACTATCAGTCACATAAATGGCATCTAATTGCCATTATGAAATGATACCAGAGTTAGCAAACAGCAAAAGTGGTCATGTAAGTCCAATTAAAAACAATAACAGTTTGAAATATTACATCAAAGAGATAAAAGAGTATAAACCTTTGATTGTTCTTGAGCAACATATTCAAAGCAGCAGCAAGCATGAGACCAAGGTTATCAAAGCATACTGATTGAATCTGAATTCCAATCCAAGATCAGAGCTTTTTCCATAAAAAAAGTATCAAAGATTATGCAAAGAATGTGAAGACAGAACCATAACCTGTGACTTTGCAGAAACTTCAGCAAGGTTATCCGCTATTGCAAAGCTGCGATGAATAGCAGACTGTTTGTACAAGATGGAAAACATCAACACACCAAACAAGAAGGTACTAAAAGCCATCAACAGCAAAAGACTTGAACAATTATTTTCTTGAAAAGAATTTCCTAGGGGCCAGGAAGAGTAGAAGGAAATAAGAAGCAAAAAATCTTTAAAGGATAAGCATAAGCATAAAACGTGTCAATGAAGCAAAAGACTGATATAAATCTTCAAGAGAAAATAATTGAAGATACTACAACTTAAATGGAAAATTGAATCCTTACACTGGTTGCAATATAGCACGCCAAGCTCATTTGTTTTGCAATGTTGGCTAAAGATGCAAGAAGCAAGAAGTGCTGAGGAAATATCGGCGTGAGCAGCTCAACTCCAATGCTCAAAGTGAACAACAGGGATGTTGAAAACCTAACCCCCTTCAAATGAGATAGCATAAAAAAAGAAAAAAGAATTTTATTTCTTGTTTTGCAGTTCTTCAGTCACCATAAAACAAGTTTTCACATTACTAATTTGTAACTTCTGATTATGTTTGACCAGACACCAAAATAGACTACTGGAAACTGCAAAACTGCAATTTATACAACAAGTGAGAGGTGAAGAAGATGTGATGTGCAACCCAACTTCTAAAATTGTGGAACTCATACCTTCAAATTGGTGTCAAAAGTAGATGCCAAGCTAGCTGTATAGATGCACCTGCTTAGCCGTCCAAGTCCATCCTTCAATACCCAGTTAAGGGCAGCAGCTGATGGAAGTGAACGAGAATATCCAATTCCTATAGCCCGAAACATGGCCTGTTTTCATCACATTCTGTCAAAAATAAGTTAATTATTGCCAAAATTTTCAATAAAATGTCTTAACTAGTAAAAGTACTTTTTTTCTTTATCTGTCAAAACCCAATATATTATAAAAAAGAACGCATTTGTCGATTCCTACCCTACCATCTTCTATTAATTTTTTCCTATTTAACAGAGTCACCAAATATTTCCACACTAATACAGCATTTATAAACCAAATTCCCCATTGTTCAGATAGCAATATCTTTAAAATTCCAAAAAAAAAAAAAATCCATTTGAAAACTTGCAATAACCAAAAAAAAAAAAACCCCTTTACCTGAGTAGCAAGAACTTGAAGAGCAGAGCTAAAAACCCTGTGTAAAAACTTCCACTTTACATATCCCATATAATTTTCACTAACTTGTTTAGGAATAAAAAAGTTCCTAACAGCCAAGCTAGAAACTTCAACCACCTTATCAAAATTGAAAAAAAATGACGCCGCAGCGCCACCGCCGCCATCGACGCTATGCAACAAAACACGGTTCCCATCCCAGAAGTACCTTGTAACTTTTCCGTACCTCCGTATCTCAATCGGGAGCTGGGCCGGGTTTGACGGCGCTGGCCCTTCGTTTAGTCCTCCATCAAGCTCGTAGGTGATTTGGGTTCTTATTGTATTGGCTAAAGTTAGGATTTTTGAAGAGAATTTGTGGGATCCGGAAGTGAGGTTTTTTGGACATTTCCATGGGAGCGGGAAATGATGAGAAATTGATGGTGTATAGTAAAGAGTTGATTGCATGAGAAATTGATGTTGACGAAATCAAGGGTTTCTTACTGATTTTCCCGCCAAATTTTGACGTTGGGTCGGAAGGGTTTGGTTGATAACGGTAGGGTTTAAGGGTTTAAGTAGGAAGAGAACAGAGTCAAGAGTAGAGACAAGAACTGGATGAAGGAAGTTACCGTCTAAACCACACACCCAGTTTGATGCAAAGCCAACCTTTTCGAGGATCTTAGTTCAACTACCCCTTCCTTTCTTCCCACGGATTATTTCTTTTAAAATAATAAAACACTGTCACTTAAAAGCCTTATTAATCAAATGTTAGAATTTAATGACTTAAAAGTGTATAGAAATTATACATCATGAGTATATTATTCAATATTAATTTATTGTTATTATTATTATTATCATTTAGTATGGTTATTATTATTATTAAATAACGAAAATAAAAGAGTTTTTTTTTTATAAAAAAATTGTCACATGGTGAGTAACTAAAATATAGATAAATAACATATTAGGAATCCAAACAAATGAACGTAAAGGGGACTGCAAGTCTGCAACCTTTCATGTGAAGCCTGTTGTCAGTTTAACTACTTTAGGAAAGTTCTTTTATGATATGAAGAAATCACTGGCAACAAGAAATTAGTACTTTAGTGTAAACATTTATTGTTGTTTCAGTTCAAAGGTATCATTTTTCTTAAAAAAAACGTTCCTTTTTAAGGTTTTTTTTCTTTTCTTTTGATCTCCTTCAAAGAAAGTAAAAGGTGAACTTTTCTGTTTTTGTTCTTGATTTATGTCTGGTTTATGAGAATTGTGTGGTTTGTCATAGCCAACTGTAAGACAGTGTAAAACCCAAATTCATTGCTGCTCTTCGGCATTTCCTCACTGTTCAAAAATCAAGGAGATTCATCCTTCAGGCTTCATGCAGAGCCAAGGTTTTAACTTTTTTTTCTTCACTTCCATTTTTCTAACAGAAGGTTGCACTTTTCTTCAAGTTGAATGTTTGGTGTTTTGAAAGACATGAATGCCTATAGGATCTTTATCTAAGTAGGATAAAACCTGATTCCTAGTCTCTTGGATAGCTAAACTTTTTGATGTTTGTGAGAGCACCGTTTAGAAGTCTAATCTGTTTCTACCAATGAAAACGAAAGTTGCTTATTTATGTCTTCTTTGTTCAAGAATGAAGAATCGGTTCTTGTTTCTATGTAAACTTTACCAATTAAGTTCCAGTAATTTTATATATTATTTTACTAATAGAAATTACAAACCCAAGCTCTGTTCTCATTTTCATTCTGTTTGTCATGTTTTATGTCTCAGGGATGGCAGCGAAGAGTCAGAATTGCAGAATGATGGAGAAACACAAGTACTGGAAAGAATTTCAGTCCAACAGGCACCAGTTTTTCAAGATAATGATTGGTGATTTTAGAAATCAACTGGTAAATGATGAATGATGAACCCTTGAGCATGAATATGATCCCTGTGCTTGCCTCCTTTTTGCTTTCCCATGCCTTTGGATTGACAACTTTTTGCTTGCTTTGCAGAGGATACCCAGAAAGTTTATGAGCAATTTCCGGGAAAATTTGTCAGGGACTGTATACCTTAGAGGTCCAAGTGGATTCATGTGGGCTGTAGAAGTTCAAAGAATGTTTGATGATGTAGTTTTCGGAAACGGCTGGCAAAATTTCGTGAAAGACCATAGTTTGGCTGATGCTGATTTTGTTGTTTTCCGCTATGATGGCAATTCAACTTTCAATGTAGTTATATTTGATTTAAGTGGCTGTGAACGAGAAGGGTCATACTTTGTGAAAAAACATACGAGCGCCTGCTCAAATGGCAGATTTGGTTTTCGAAGGGAAGATGGAGAGGGCTCTGAAGAAGTAATAGACTTGGACAAAGTCCATGAAAACCATATGCAAAAAGAGAAGCTCACCAAGGGAAATGGAAACACAAGTTCAAAAGCTGTTGACACCATCTCTCAATTGAAGGCAACACAGGAAAAGCACCTGCGAGTTGGAAAATCAGCTATTGCTAGCGAGGTAATTGAAATACTGATGGATGAATCAGAGGAATCCTCAGGGAGTGCAATGGAGGCCAGTGAAGATTGGAGTAATAAGTCTGTATCTTTGAAGTGCAAATCAAAAACAAAACAAGGTTTGTTTCCACTAAATTCTCTTAGGGGAAGTAGATAGCTATAATAGTAAAAAATCTTCTAGATGAACAAAAGATGGAATGTGGTTTGAATCCTCCTTCACTAACAAATTAGATAATTTTCCATTTTGTTCTGTTTCAATATACCAAAAACTCTCTGTTTCTCACTTTTCCTTCCTTTTCGGTTCTAGTTGGTTGCTTAACAAATGATTCAGGTAAAATGAAAAGGCCACTAGATTTGCCAGGATCATATAACGTGTATTTCATATCAAAGAGACGAGAGATAACAGAGGAGGAGAAGCAAAGACCCCGTAGATTGGCCAAGCATTATTCATCTACTAGACCCTCGTTCAGCATTGTTATGAAGCCTACTCACGTTTGCAGGGCTTTTACAGTGGTAAAATCTTTGTTCTTGTGTCTCATTCCCGTTTCCATGCCTAGCTGTTCAAAATCAAGATTAAGAATTATATTGCAGTAACCCTATGAGGCTATGCTAACTATGTCTAGCTGTTCATTTGTTCATCTTGAACTTTGTCTTTGATCAGCAATCTCATCAAAAAATGTCTCTGCATGCAGAATATTCGTGAAAAATGGCTAGACATGCACATCCCTGATAACGTTAGAATAGCTCTGCTGAGAGTCCCTCCAGATGAGAAGAGATGGCCTGTAAGAATCATGCGCACCAAGTGGAGAAGAGGTTTTACAAGGGGATGGGCTAAATTCGTCTTGGATAACAACTTGGAAGAGCATGATGTTTGTGTTTTTGAGCTCAGTGAGGAAGGCAAAGCCAACAAGAAAAGCATAGGCTTTAATGTTGTGATATTTCGAGTTGTGGACGAGATTGTCCCCTTGACACGGTTCTCAAATACTCAACCAAATGCTTCAGATTAGAGAGAAAGGACTGCTTAATTATGAGGTTGATGTGTGTGTGTGTGTGAGTGTAGAAGTAGCTTACTCGTTTAGGATAACTCTAATGGTACAAATACTGTATCTGGTTTAGACTTAGAAATATATAATGACTACCACCTATTCCTTTGATGCCTGTCGCCTTTCGTATCTGGTTAGATGATTAAAAATGCTTTTGGATGGTTATCATGGTCATTTGACTTCAACAGAAACTGAGTGCTGGGTAGAGGCTGCAGTTATGTTCAAGCAGTCTGTTGTATGCAAAGTACAGCACTGTGTCTTATAAGAAAATTATTTCTTGAATCATCAGGGTTTTCCTGATGATGCCAGAAGACAATTTTTATCCTTATTAGTAATGGTCAACAGCTTGTTTTATTCTACCATGCAGCTCAAATGAACTTGTTTAGCTCCAACTCGAAGATATCATGATTTGGTTGGATGGGTAATTGACTGGGGCTTAGGTTCTACGAGATGATCAGTAGTAACTAAAGGTTGGCTAGAGGTAGTCATATTCAAGTAACTAATTTTCAGTTAAGATAAAAAACAGGTAATGGCTACCATAGAAAAAGAGAACAATGGCAACTACTATCCATTATCCAATTATCCTTTGAAGATTAGATCTGCGTAAAGAGTTTTGTTGATTAATCCACTATTGCGCTAATTTTATCAATCTTTTGCTGAGCAAAAAAGAAAGAAATATCAATCTTTTGGGGTTGTGCTGCACACATTTTGGTTGAATAAAACTTCTAATTCATTCAAAAGGGAGAAGTATCTTTTTAGCACGCTTCAAAAGTATCCTTAACGTTCTAAAACCAATTCCTTGAAAGGAGAGAGAATGCTACTCTGTTTGTGTTGTAGGCAAGTCGGGTAGCTATAAAGACATAGCAATGATCAACTCAATAACAGAGTGCAGGACTGCAGGACCCTTGTGACAAGCCCTTATTTCACCGCGTTAGTTACACACTGTACTTTCTTGTTCCAGGTAATTGTGTTAATTCTGTGCCTATACCACATAGAGCTTGGAATTCAGACGTGGAGTGACGAGTACCTCAAGCGGGGTCGCTTTCAGATTGGTCAATCCAGCGCTTTCTGTCATATCTACATCTTCGAGCTTTGATGGCTTAGCAACATCAAAACTGTGCAAGAACCTGCCCAAGATAAAGTGCAACATCTTGAGGGCTAGTGAGGTCCCGGGGCATGATCTTCTTCCTAAGCCAAAAGGGATGAGTTCAAAAGTTTGGCCTCTAAAATCCATATCCTTATGGCTGGTTAAAAATCTCTCAGGCTGAAAATCATGAGGGTCTAGCCATACACGTTCATCACGCTGAATCTTCCAGGCATTTACCATCAACCTTGTACCGGATGGAATGTGGTAGCCTGTTGAGAGGGTGCAATCTTCCAATGCAGCCCGAAGGCCTATGATCGGACTGGGAGGGTATAAGCGCAATGTTTCCTTGACAATGGATTGAAGATAGACCAGGTTTGAGATATCAGATTCTTCTAATGGTCTATCCTTACCAACGTGCATGTCTACCTCATCCTGGGCCTTCTTTAGCACGCGAGGATTGTTCAGTAGCAAAGACAGGGCCCAGGTAAGAGTGACCATGGTCGTGTCACTCCCTGCTAAGATCAAATTCTGCCAGAACAAGACCTTATCAGCAAAACTAGGGGACACTTTATTAAATTATGATCAAACAGTTAGTGATAAAATATACGAAGACAAACGAGCTTGATGACCTTATCACCTTAGGGATCAAGAAGACTCGATAAAAGGTTAAGAATTTCTTGTCCTTATACCGACTCCAATTCCAAGAGATAACTCATTTAATAAAAGCGTTATGGCCTTTTTGGTAATGACTACACAGCTTCCATTTTCTTATGATATCTTGTTTCAGTACTGATTCTTTGGAAGAGGCTGTTTACCTACCACTTGGATTTGACAAGTGTCATCCCAAGATTACATATGTATAATTGAGACAATAAAAGATGGATATCATCAAGAATCATAAACAGAACACTACTAGATATAATTAGCAGGATTTATTTGGTTGGGACTAGGACTACGTGGAGTTTTTTTTGGGCTCTTACCAAGCAAGTAGCCTTGATGATGGTGTCAGCATCGAAACCAGTAATCTTGCCATCTTCCAGGATGTTCAGCATCACATGCATGAAATCCTGCTCTTCAATCACCCCTCCACCCAAAAGTCTCTTCTGTTTATGCTCCTCCAGCCACCTTTCTACGAGACTGTCCAATTGTTTGCAGTTCTTTTCATGGATTTTTCATATCCTTGAAAATCCAGCCACCCGAGAAATGGTATTGCATCAGACAAGACGAACACTCCAAACAGATAAACAAAATCTCTCATAACTTTCTGGCATCTTCTTGCATCTGCTTCCTCACAATCAGCATTTGGTCCGAAGTATCTTCTCCCTCCTACCATTCTCAAAGCAATATTATGAGTTAGATCACCAAACCACTGCTTCATATCCACCAACACTCCAGTTTCTGTACTACCCTTGCTAAGCCATGACTTGTACAGTTCTCTTATTGCAGTCTTTACCTCAGAAGCTCGTATATGTTTGAGCATATCAATCCGGTGGCTTGACAGAAGCTCAATGGTGGCAATCTTGCGCATCTCACGCCAATAAGACCCATAAGGAGCGAACCCAAACATAGCAAAATCATAGCCTAGATGCTTTGAAGCAGCAATGCTTGGTCTAGTGGAAAAAACTTTATCATGGACAGTGAAACATTCTTTGGCCATTTCCCAACTATTTAAAACCAAGACTCTGTGTGATCCTAGCCTTATGGAAAAAACAGGTCCATATTTGTCAGCCATGGCACCTAATGTTTTGTGGGTGAGTTGCTGGCCACCTAAGAGGTGCATGTGGCCAATTACAGGCAAAGCACCGCCAGCTTGCGGTGCAGTGCAGCATCTTTTCCCGTGAGTTCTTGCTTTCTTTGATTGATAAAAGTAAATGCAACTCAAAAGGGCAACAAGGCTGCAGACTGTAGTAAACAGGTACCGAAGGAAAGGGTCCATCAGAGAATTTAGAGCTTGAAAAAGGGGCATATGTAGCAGAACAGGCCTTCCAAGTCTGAACAGCTTGTAAATATCTTTGGTGAATCTTTCCAACTCTGTTAATTTTTTCTTGAAAAACAAGAATTTGACTTTTGGGACTATTGCAATTACTATTATCAATTGCTGTCAAGTGATCTGTAATGCAGATGTATATAAATCTAAGCTGAAATTTTTGAATTCCACAAACAAATTTAAAAGATTATCAGAACCTAACGTAATTATTTCATGAACGTCTCTGTCCTATGTAGAATAACAGTAATCCTTTCACGTTTATTTTTTCAAATATGACTCTGTTATTTTCTGCTTATTGACTTTTGTTCCCTGCTACAATCACATATCCTCAACCTCTAATTTTTCCTTTTTTCCCCTGGGATCACCATCTATCTAAACACGATTGGTCAAACATAAAATTAAAGAAAGAAACAACATCAGCATCAATGACGTAAGATATGGTGAAAAACTTTCATGCATAAAAATAAAGTATTTGTAATGCTTTTCTCAGCCTTTGGGTTAACATAAAGAGTAAATCATGTATGGAGTTATGAGAAGAGAGGAATTATGATGATTTTCCATGGTTTAATTTTCTTTTTCTGTACAAACAATTCAATAGGGAATTTTATTTGTGTTCTGGTGGTAAAAAATTTGCAGAAATAAAACAACAATCATGGTGCCATGAACAACCATCAGATTAAAGCCTGATAGTTAATCTGTTATCTAAAATAGATGCATGCACTTTCCACCAAAAAATGCCTTTCATATTTATTAATAACCCTTACGGATGTTATTTTCAAAAAAAAGAAAATACCTTTCTGATGTAGGCTTTTGGTGGCCACACGTCTCCTCTCCTTTCTATTTCCTGTTTCTTTCTCTCTGGTTTGCCAAATAATTACTTCAGTACATCACATCGTTTTCATTTCTGAACAAGAACTGAGAGATATTGTTTTCATCAATGGAAAAACCAACTAGAAATACCCCAAAAGTTTGTAATCACAGCACCTTTAGATGTTAATTTCTTGGTTATGGCAACAGGTAATGTGACTGACGACTCTGCTGAAAAACCATTTGGGTAGCAGTTCCGAACCTCAGGCAATGAACCTGAGGATCCCAGAAGTAACCACAAGTCCTAACTCAATAAACTCTTGGATAACATGACAATATTTTGGTATGCCTCTTGGAATTGTACTGTCAATATCTGGTAGGTTACTTGGATAAGTACTAATAAGTTGTCTAACAAGTAACCATCTTGGCCACGACCACTCTAAAGACTTTTGTGTTGGACACAAAAAGGGCAAAGAGAAAGTCAAAAAGAGAACTAATTCCAGTACCAGACTGTGCCTGTGATCTTTTATTGCATTTAAATGTTGATTTAATTATAGAAAGTGACCTTGCAAAAGTTAAACTTGTATTATTCCATATGAGATTGAGTGTATCAGAAGTACCTTTCTAGCACGCCTTCAAAGTTGGAAGTGCATTGAAATTTGAAAATGTTTAGCGGTGGTTTGTCTTTCATTTTCTTAACCGGTTGTTGTAAAGAAGTTAATTGCGGTTTGTATTTTAGACAACTAGGAAACCAATAAGTATATAGGAATGATCAATTCAGGAAAGCCTAGAGTAACAAGCAGGGTAGAACCCTTGTAATAAGCCCTTACCTTGACCGCTCTAGTCACCGCAGCTTACATTTTCTTACTGATAATTACTACATTAATTCTGTGCCCAAACCATAGAGCTTGGAATCAAGACGTGGAGTAAAGAGAACTTCAAGCGGGGTTGCTTTCGGATTGTTAATCCTGTGCTTTCTGTCATATCTACATCTTCGAGTTTCGATGGCTTAGGAACTTCAAAACTTTGCAAGAAACTAGCCAGTGCCGAATGCACCACCTGGAGGGCTAGTGAGACCCCAGGGCAGGACCTTCTTCCGGAGCCAAAAGGGTTGAGTTCAAAAGTCTGGCCTCGAAAATCCATATCCTTATGGCTAGTTAAAAATCTCTCTGGTTTAAGAACATCGGGGTCTGGCCACACACGCTCGTCACGTTGAATCTTCCAGGTATTTACCATTAATCGTGTACCTGCCGGAATGTGGTAGCCAGTTGAGAGAGTGCAATCTTCCATTGATGCCCGGAAAATGATTGGACTAGGCGGGTATAAGCGCAGTGTTTTCTTGACAATGGCCCGAAGGTAGACCAGGTTTCTGATGTCCGATTCTTCCAATGGTCTACCCTTTCCAACGTGGATGTCAACCTCATCTTGGGCCTTCTTTAGCACGCGTGGATTATTCAGTAGCAAAGATAGGGCCCAGGTGAGAGTGACCATGGTTGTGCCACTCCCTGCCAAAACTAAATTCTGCCAAAAACAAAAACTTTATCAGCAAAAATGAGAGGCACGTTCTTTATTCAGATATAATCAAGTCTCTAGCAATATAATACACAGAGATGGACAAGACTGATGACCTTAAGCATCAAGCTGACTCAATAAAACGCTAAGAATATAAATCCTGTTCCTGTACCTACTCCAATTCCTAGAGATACTTAATCTAGTTTAATGGCCTTGTGGCATTCATCATGGAATTTTCAAATTCTTAGCGTGCTAGGATTTTGTTTCATTCTGATTATTTGTCAATTATTATCACAGTAAGATTATATATGTATTGTGGAGACAATTTTGGCCCCACGAAATTAACTACAAGATCCCAATAATACTTCATCTCTTGCTTTGGTATTCATATTGATTTGATGGGATATTGTGCCACCTAACTCGCCCACTTGACCAACTTGAAATTATCCTTTTCGTTCTTCAATAGGCCTAATGACTCCGGAACAAGTGCTTTCACCAATATTATAATGCCCTATTACGACTATTTTTGCACTATGAATATGACAGATTGGCCTATCAGTTTCTCACCACAAAGCCTAAGAAATCCATGCAGGGAGTGCCCAATTTTTTCATGTTGTTCAATTTAGCGGGATTTAATCTTTGCAGAGAGCAGTACATTTATAGCGGGAGCTTTATCAGTATCGATTTATCCTAGGACCTCATTTGCAGAGATATATGTTATACATCATCAAGAATTGAAAAGAGGGCATATTCTGGATATATTTGGACTATGTATTCATCATTTGGTTGGAACTAAAGGCTACGTGTCTTACCAAGCAAGTAGCCTTGTTGATGGTGTCAGCATCCAAACTAGTAATCTTGGCGTCTTCCAGGATGTTCAGCATCACATCCATGAAATCCTGCTCTTGTTTCAACCCTCCACCCAGATGTTTCTTCTGCTTATGCTCCTCGAGCCACCCTCCTACTAGAATGTCCAATTCTTTTGGAGTTCTTTTCATGGCTTTTTCATATCCTTGAAAATCCAACCACCCAAGAAATGGTATTGCATCGGACACGACAAACACTCCAGACAGTAAGCGAAATCCCTCATCACTTTCTGACACCTTCGTGCTTCTGCTTCCTCACAATCAGCATTCGGTCCGAAGTACCTTTTCCCTCCCACCATTCTCAGGGCAATATTATGAGTTAGATCGCCGAACCACTGTTTCATATCTGCCAATACTCACAGTTTCTCCACCACCTTTGCTAAGCCATGACTTGTACAATTCTCTTACTGCAGTCTTTACCTCTGAAGCACGTATATGTTTGAGCATATCAATCCGGTGGATTGACAGAAGTTCAATTGTAGCAATTCTATGCATCTCGCGCCAGTAGGATCCATAAGGAGCGAACCCGAACATCGCATAATTATAGCCTAGAAGCTTTGAGGCAGTAATGACTGGTCTAGTGGAGAAGACTTTATCATGGACAGTGAAACACTCTTTGGCCATTTCCCAACTATTTAAAACCAAGGCCCTGTGTGATCCTAGCCTTATGGAAAAAACAGGTCCATAGTTGTCAGCCATGGCACCTAATGTTTCGTGGGTGAGTTGCTGGCCACCCAAGAGGTGCATGTGGCCGATGACAGGTAACGCACCGCCAGCTTGTGGGGCAGTGCAGACTCTTTTTCTGTGAGTGCTTGGTTTCTTCGACTGATAAAAGTAAATGCAACTCAGAAGGGCAACAAGGCTGCAGACTAAAGTAAACAGGTAGTGCAGGAGAGGATCCATCAGAGGAATTTAAAGCTTGGCGGAGGGGATATGTGGAGAGGTCTTGCAAATATTAACCGCTTTGAAATCGCTTTGGTGAATCTTCCCAGGGCTGTCACTTTCCTGGGAAGATAAGAATATCTGACTTTTGGGATCATCACAGGGTAAAATACATGATCATTTTCTGCCATATCTGAAATGTAGGTTATTTTTAATGCAATAAGTCTATATCATGAGATCACTTGGAGCTTGAAAAGATTTGCTTGCATATGATCCAAAACCACCTATATTCTAAAGAAAGAAAAAACTTAAAAAGCCAAGCTCTGGGCTAAATTCAAGTCGGCAAATTGAAGTAATCATACTTTCAAACCTTTTTGTTGGCGAGCAGGTCAGCAATGGTGCCACTGATCAGTCCGAATATAACACAATTGCTTCAAAATTCGTGCGTCTGAATTAACATGCTATGTTTTTTTTTTTGAGCCAAGAGAATAACTGCTGCCTGGCATCAATTAAACGCCATACTGCCACTTTAAATTATATTTTAATTTTTGAGTTTAGATTTCTTGAATTAACTAATATAATGATGGAACTTAAAATCCTGTTTATTAACCACGACAAGTTCCCGTTTATTTAATTTTTGTTGCGTTCAAACGGGGCCTCACTTCTAACTAACATTCACAGTTGTAGATCGGAACTGACTTTGGCTTTTAACTTCATTGAATATTTGAAAATATTTGTCATCATTTCAAGCAGTGATGCACACGGCTGAAGGCTGATGCAGAGGAATAGGGTGTTGAACATGATTAGGCCTTGACCAGCAACCTGTTTATGTAAGATGCCTAGTGGGAAACAAAACGTCAATACCTGATGCAGTGGCCATAATCAGCAGGCAAAATCAATTAAATTTGTGTTTTTGAGAAAAAAATAGGATAACTACTCAAGGATTACTTGCAAAGTATATGACTCAAGAACAGGCTCCTCTGAACAAAATTGTCCTGAAAGGGCCTAAGAGTTCATGTACTTGCAAGGGAGGGCACCACAAAGAATTTGGTCCTAAAGCAGAATGCCTAAAGAAAAACAAGTTTCCCTTCCCTTGAGCAATTATAGAACTACGCTCCCTGTCAAGCAACCAGTACCAGCAGAAGTATCTTTCAGTGCCTTTGCTAACCTACAAACAGCTTTGCAAGATCTAGTACTAATATCTAAAGGATTAAAGAGACAGGGGGGAATGATAGTGACTTGAGGGGGCTCCGGGTTGGGAAGGGTTGTAATTCAAGCTTTCCCAATCTGACGTCTATGGTGCTTGTCTCCTGATAACTTGTACAAGCAGTTTCTGGCTAATATTTCCTCTACCAAGAACGAACTCAAATACACACTTATCTCCTTTCTGCAAATTGTACTCCTGCCGGAAAGAACCCCATCCATGATGGATAAGAACACGACCATCTGCCCTCGAACTGACCATCACTGGCCATTTCTTCCCATTTTGATCAAGAAGCACCACCTCTGGCTTGACTTTAATTCCATATGAGGCCAGAAGTGATCTAGGAACATACTACAAGATGAAGCAAAATACTAATTAAGTACAAGAAAAACTAAACAAAAACAATGTGATCACTTAATATAATAAGAAGAGGATGATTATACAAGTAATGAGAGAAAACTCCTTTAGTTATGTCCAGAAAAAATAATTTGCCTCAACTGTCATTGATATGGGAAAGTAGGTCCAAAACAATAATGACAATAATAACTCTAATAAAGGAAAACTTGTGAAAATGGTTTCTAACAAGGATATATGGTAATTTTGATCCACTTCTAGCGGCTTTGGAATAAAAAAAACTACTGATTTCTGTCTAAAACAAAGAGACTTCCTATAACTGTGAGTTGCAGATAGCAAACCTGATGAACTTGAATCATGAGAAGGACAGGTGAGAAAAAAGTAGAAGCAAGGTTATGCACTGTCTGCCAACTTCCCAAAGGTTATTTTCAAGTTTTCAAGGACCTAATTTCTGTACTAAGTAAAATACAGAACCTTTGACCCAAAAAAAAAGGTATAATAGGACTCCAGGCAGAGATATTCCTAGATACTGTTGGCCATATCAAGTTGTATAAATATGTTGAAAGCTCAGACAAGTATTCTTTGCTATATGCACATCCAATAAGCCCTACATTTCTTTGTCTTCAGCTTCATGAAAATTCTTGACAAATATTTTGACATAACCATCTTGCATATATATATTCCAATAACTTCCCCATATATGAAGACAACCTGAAGTCATGAAAAGTAGGTAAAATATAAAACATGACCTAAAACTCACCACAGCATACCGCATCGACTGATGGATGTTACTGACAAAATAAGGACCTTTTGGTGTCACATATGTTGCAGCGTTAAGTGCCTTGCCTTCCCCAAGATTTGTTCCTCTATTTCTTCTTAGTTTATATCGACAACCTTCAGCTAAACCTGAAACCATACAGCAGATCAAAAGTAATCATCCACAAGAATCTGGGAATAATAATGATTTGACTAAGACTGCACACTACCTAAGTTTTTAACTGAATACTTCTGCTTGCAAGTTTGAGTAGGCCCATTGCATTTTTCCACCTCCTTTATCTCTTTTTCATTCACTGCAAGAGTGGTGGTCACGCTGGAAGATAAAGCCGCTTTGTTGCATCCATTTCTACCAAATATTTCCACATCAAACAGACATTTCCCGTCATATTTGAAAATGAGGAAGTCTCCAAATTCTAAAAAGTTTTCACTTGCAAAGCCTTGCCACCCGTTTGTCATAGTCAAGCCTCCTTCAACTTCTTCCAAATCGACAAGCCACTGCTTTCCAGTATGATTTTTAAGCATGGCATCCTTAGGAATGGTTCCATCAAAATGCCTAATGAAAGCAGGTGGTATTTTCTGCATAATTGAATAGTTTAAATGTTAATTGTCTGCTAAAACAAATTTGAGCAAAAAAATACTTGATTAATAATTAGCAGAGAATGTAAATTCCCATTTAATGCGTTTTAGATGTTGTTTATAGGCTAATTCATCTAACAATCCTTCCAATACAAATTCAGATACAGGATGAAAATTAGCTAGACAAGAATGAACATTCTGGTTTCAAGATTCAATTGGGACCATGCAGGACATGACCAATTTTCTAGAAGCAAACGGCTAAAGTATGGTGACATTTTAAAATTAATATAGGATTCTTACACTAAAAAAAAAAAAGAGAGAGAAAAAAGAAAACCCAGCTTGATACAGAGCTCCAGGCTCCATGACCAAGCTAAATCAACGATTGGTTGCATGAACTGCAGATGGAATGAATAAACACAGCAGCATAAAATGATTGAAACAGAAACACAGCAGCGGGCAGGCCCCAAGGCAACAGTGGACAAACTCCAACAACAGCAAGACAATGATCATTAGCATAACAAAGCAGAAACATAATCAAAGAAGGAACAAAGCAGAAACATAAACAAGGCAGGGTAATAGCAGTCAAATCAAATCAACTCTCAAATATGCCATGGCAGCACTTCTCAACAACGTAACATGTTTGCAAAATCTCAGCCCATAATTACATATAATTCTTGATTACTTTCCTCATCCCGGAAAAATGTGAAATAAACATAAATTCACACAGGCTTCTCACTGCCTTTCTTCTCTCCTCCTGATCTTAATCTCCTAAATTTTCAACAGGAAAATCCCCAAACATTTTCAATCGAACTTTATTATTATATGCCCTATGAAAAGAAACAATTTCATGGATAACAAAACCGTCTTTCCTCCTAAACAAATACTCAAGCTTATAACCTCAACTGTGTATTTTGTGCTTAGTAAAGTGTAACAAAGCTTTCGATGACAAGCCCTGAGAAGGCAGAAGGCAGTGTCAAGGCTACCGTTTCTACAACAATTTCATAGTCGTCTTCTTAATTCTTATACAAACGAAAGAGCACATGCAAAGATGCCCATAATGAGAGAAAGAAACGAGAGAAAGTACCAGTTGCTGAGAATTGAAACAAGGGAGATAGACTTTGAAGAACTTATGACACTGTTTCCGGGGTTTCGCCATATCCCTAGTATTCCCTTCGCCGTTGTGAGAGAGACAGACTGGTGGGTTACGTTCACGTAAGGTCGCGGAAACTGAAAAGACAATCCTAGATAAGTTTCAAGGGTTAAATACTTGACATCCAATAACAACATGACACGTGGTGAAACGCTTCTTATTTATCAAGCCTTTTAATAGAGACTATTATAAACTTACATATCGTATGGAGTTATTCGCTAAAACCCTAGTCTTAAAATTGGCAGATGATCAACTTACATCTTCCAGCCTTTTTTTTTGGCTAGTTTACTCAAAACCCATTATAGTTATTACTTCTTGGTCTCTATTGTACTATAATTAGATGTAAATTTCTATTTTAGAAGAATTTATTTCCATAGATACCATATATATATTATATATTTTTCTCACTCAACAGGTGTATCTTTTCTCATTAGTTTTACTTGCATGGAAGAATAATTACAACTAGGCAGCAGCAGGCCATTCCAGTTGAATATGTGGGTGTGGAAATATGAGAGTCAATATGGCATCGTCTGCTGAGCAGGAGAGAGAAATAACAACCATTGCTCAGAGATGTAGCCAAGCAGAACCTTGAAAAAGCCTGGCCTATCATGGAGCACTGGTTTTCTTCCCATTGGAGTCGATTGTAATTTGGAAAGAGTACAGTTTTTTCAATTTCTTTATTTTATTAATTTTGCATTATGGATTTCACGAATTAAACCATTTCCTCGAATTTTGATGAGCTACCATTCTTCACTTCATCCGACGTAAGTTTTAATCCTGGTAGGACTTGGGAGACTATGAATGTCGCAGCCCGCTGAAAAGTTAGATTTTGTGCCTCCTGATTCCTGAAGCAGCAAATACATACCCCTTCAGGACTACTTTTGCTGGAAAATTAAGAAGGCACCTTATTTAAGGTAAAAATATTCGTCATAGTCAGGACAGCGTCAGAAAACATGTTTCAACGACATGTTAAACTCAAGAAAGCATTCAGACATAACTATCCATGGAAATGGGCAAACTACTTTCTTTTCCGAAGTTTAAAATAGTTTGATTTCTTGAGTCAATGACTTCAGTCCTGTCCGTCGGTATCTTGGAATGCCTCTGAAATCTTTAACTTGTTTCTTTGAGGCCTTGGAGATGTTAATCTTTCTTCCTGAGTTTTCTGCGACAGCTAAATGTCGTCTAGGATTTCTCCTGAGCCATTCCTCTTATTCTCCTCGATCTTTGGCACTGGAAGTTTTCCAGTGGATGTTGGTTGAGCAGGCTAGACATGTTTCCTTTATCATGCACCGAATCAGAATCCACATTAATCACCAAGCTTTCCTTGGACTCAACTTGGTTCTCTGTACTTTTATCAGCTGCTTTTCAAGAACAAAATGATGATAACGAAATCCAAGCATATAGTATTAGTAGCAGAAATCAAATGCACCATTAATTAATACCTAAAATCGATCCTGCTTACCCAATGATGAGCCCAAATTTGCATCTTCAATAGCCTGTTTCCCATAAATGGTTACTTTAAATGAGGTTTCAATGCCCTCCGTCAGCTCGAAGACACAAATATCACCAACTTCTAACTTATTATCCAGAACAAATTTCCTCCAACCATTACAAAGTTTTGCACTTAGCTTTCTTATACTGTGTTGGTAGTACTTTACCGGCCATGATTTTCCATTTGAAAGACGAAGTATGACCTCTTTGAGCTTCTTGCTGAAAAATTTTCTAGCAAATTTCTCTGGTACACTCTGCCCAATACAAAAATAAAGAAGTTAATTCGATTATTCATTCCAATGAGAGAATGCAAAATGCCTTTAATTCCTTTATTATTCTGACCCTTACTAGTCATATTTATCATCTGCGTAATGCGTTAACAAAACTTGGAAAGGCTAGCAGGTATCAACTGAAAAACTCACCAATTTATGAACATATGATGGCTGTAAGACAACAGCAAAAGATGGATTTTCAGATCTGAAAGCACTAGCAATTTGAATGGCTTTAGCTTTTTCAAATGCATTCAATGGTTTCTGGTAGTCCTGACCTGTAGATGATTCTCCAGCATTCTTTTTCACTCGATGAAAGACATCAGTCTTACCTTGGTAAATGGACACTTTGAATGATATTTCACTGCAATTTATTAGCTCAAAGACACAAACATCACCGACTTGTATATTGTTATCATTTGCAAAAGTCCTCCACCCTATTTGTAGACTTGCATTGAGCTTTCTCCCCTTTTCTCTGCGATGGAAGCTGACAGTCCATGTTTTCCCGTTTGAATTGCAAAGATTTACCTCACAATCCTCTTTCATCAAGTGTTTCCTGACAAAGTTGTTCGGTATGGCCTGCATAAAAGAAAATTAAAAAAATAAATTTCAATCCAGAAGGAGAAAGGAAAGGATTAAGGGGGCAAAACAAAGAAGTCCATTGCAAACAACAGGAGTGAAATTACTCAAAACTTTTGTTCACTAGTTATCGTATTTCATACGCAAGTGGAGTAATGGACTCAACATATCGTAAGATTTTAGTGGGAATTCAACCGATTGCTTACCAGTCTACACGTTGGATTGAAGCCAACATATGACGGTTGCATGACAAGCAGAAAAAATGGGTTTACAGAATTAAAAGCTCTAGCACTCTGAAGGGCCTCAGCCTTGTTATCAGCCTTCAATTTTTGAATCCTATGACGACTTCTTGTGCTTTTATCACCTTTTCTAGCTGGAGATCCATCATGCCTAAATTGTGGAAACAGAGATTCAGACTTCAAATTGCTCTCAATATATGGCAAATGCGATTTCTCTCTTGTTTTCCTGCTTGGAGCGATGACCTCCAGGATCTGTATAGAGTCATCATCTTCAGATTCCTCAATCTTTTCTTCCGGAAGTTCTTTGTGTTGCCCATGATTGTTGCTGGTGTATGGATATTCTATCTCTGAAGCACTCCTATCAAATATGATGACATGGAAATTGCAATTCCCTTCATATCTGAAAACCAAAAAATGCCCGTACTCCAGAGAGTAATGATTTAAAAATTCTTGCCAGCCATTTTTCAGCCAAACTTTGCCATCAGCTTTTGTTAGCTCTACCTTCCATATTTCACCATTTGGGACCTTGAGCAGTGCTGGGCTTGACATTGCATTTCCATATTTTTTCACAAACTTCGTGGGAATTCCCTATTAAAACAACCAAAAAAAAAAACCCTCTAATCAAGATATGCACAAAAAAATGCAATTTCCTATATGCATGCCACAAACTGTGAATCTTCTGCTATACATAAATCTAACATATCTTGCAGCTTCAGACTATTTTTCTATTATCTATCGACAAAATGAGTACTCATTCACTATACCAGCTATTTTGTGTAGCCATTTTTGCAATGATGAGGTTTGTATGCTGGTAAAATCGAGTGCTTGCACTCTGTGTTGTACTCCTTTGGAGCAGTTCTTACTGCCTCCCTACTGCCTTGAGCAGTTTTATTAATGAAATCTACTTTATTGGCTGAGCAAAAAAAAAACTGATTTATCAGTATATAGTTATTGAAGTTAATGCAATCGGACCCCTTCACCTGTAACTTTCACTGAGAACATTGCAGTTCCACTAACCAAAACTGTTGAAGATTTATAGAATCTGTGAAGACAATGAGATAATAAAGCTAACCATGAGACAAAATGGGAAGAAAAAGGGCATCCAAAATAGCTCATGAACATGCAAGGCGTGATGATTATGTTTCCTGTCGAATGCCAAATGTCATGGAAATAAATCAGTTTTATTTTGTTATTCCAGTTTTCACATTTCAGAACATCAACGTCAAGTCCTCAGAAATCAATTCGAGAACCAGTTATACTCAGGAGGAAATCAAAGTACATCGGACAAAAAAGAGAGAGGAGTAGGAGAATGCTTACAAGTTTGCCATCCCGAAGGGTCTCTGGGAGAATTATCTTGAAGAAATGAGGCGATTCGCTCGTAAATGTTGAATGGTCATTGCCTTTCCGGTGAGAAGAAGTCATACTTGAAAAGTGCCAGAACTTAATGCCAAATAACAGGAATAATATGTATGGCTGTTTGGTTAATTAATTCTCAACCTTTTAAATCATTTTTTCTCTCTTAATTGATTACATATATGTGTTCTTTACATACAAACACAAGTTTTATTTCTTCAATTTTTACTCTTGTTTTGTAGAAACATTAAAAACTAGTACAAATTCCAACTTTTGAGTAGCAATTAATGCAAATCCAGGAAAACAAAAGAACAGCCAAGAGTTGACTGAAAACTTCAAACTTCTTTGTCAAAGAAGGGCAAACTCCAAGGCCACTAGACCATATGCTGGCCAGGAATCAGGAAAGTATAGGCGGTTCAAGTACAACGGTAGTCCCATTGGATTACTTCCCCCAGCAGCTGCTGGCCTGTTTTTGGACTGATAAATTGACACGAAAGCCAGGAACAAATCTTTCAGACTCATGACTTTGGAGATATGGTGATTCCGTGAAGCATTTGCTCAAATAAAATGCAGCTGAGTGCCAGAGTTGGTAGGAACAAAATACGTAAAAGTGAGAGAAACCAAGACCTGATCTAGGAATTAGTTTTCCTATCTCATGGATGCCATTTCAAATATTAAATGTTTTAAGCTCTCATCACCAAGAGTTGAATGCGTGTTTCACAATGCAAGCATCTAAGCAAAACTAGGAATGAGAGCACCAAAAAGAAAAACACAAACGCTAATATCAAACCTTAATGAACAATTATATGAAGGGAAGAAGATAGAAGTTCTATAGATAAAACCCAATGTGTCTCCTGATTGACTGATCCAGATCACTTCCAGATTGCCATATTCCTAGCAACCCCTTTACCGTTGCGGTTACTGAAAAGAGAATCATAGTTAAATTTGACAAAAAAAGAGTTACGTACTTGACATCCAATAACAATATGACACGTGGTGAAAAGCGTTGCATTGGGGGCTGTCGTGAGGTCTTAGACTAGGTTTGGACCTAGGACTTTCGATTTCTCCTATCCGAGTTGTAGCCTTGATTCTCTGATATTTTTCTAGGACAGGACGGGAAGATACAGAAGGAGTAAGAAAATGGAAATTAGAGATTTTCTGTGTAGATTATCAAGCCTTTTAACAGATACCATGCTATTATAAACTTATATAAAGTCTAGGGCTATTCCTCTAAGCCTTGGTCTTAAAATTGGCAAATAATGTACTTACGTCTTTCACCCTTTATGTTTTTGGCTAGTTTAAACCCATTTTAGCAATTACTTCTTGGTCTCTATTGAACTCTAATTAGATGTAGATTTCTATTTTAGAAGAATTTATTTTCACAAGTACTATATAATATATATTTTTGTCACTCAAAATGTATATCTTTTCTCATTAGTTTTACTTTTATAGAAGAACCATGGAATTAGGCATTGGCAGGCTATTCCAGTTGAATAATATGTGGGTGTGGAAGTATATATGAAAGTCAATATGGTATAGTTTGCTGAGAAGGAGAGACATGTAATACCAATTGCTTAGAGAAGTGGTCATGCAGAACCTTGGAAAAAGGCTGGCCTAACTTGGAGAACTGGTTTTCTTCCCATTGGAGTCGTTTGAATTGGAAAAAACAAAAACCTCGAGACAGTTTTTTCAATGCACCCTTAAAAATGCATTAAACCTTTTCCTAGAATCTTGAAGAGTTACCATTCTTCACTTCATTCAAAGTAAGTTTTTAGCCCGTTGGATATTTGACCTTTACGGCTTGGAGACTTGGTGTCAATCAATGGTCGCAGCCCGCTGAAAAGTCAGATTTTGTGCGTCCTGTTTCCTGAAGCAGCAAATAAATATCCCTTCAAGACTATTTTTGCAGGAAAAATTAAGAAGGCTTCTTATTAGGGTAAAAATATTCGTCAGGAGTCAGGACAGCATCCGAAAGCATGTTACAACGTTATGCCAAACTCAAGAAAACATTTCAAACATAACTATCCATGGAACAGGGCAATCTACTTTCTTCTCCGAAGTCTAAAATAGTCTGATTTCTTGAGTCAATGACTTCAGTCGTGTAGGACGGTATCTTGGATTGCCTCTGATATCTTCGACCTGTTACTTTGAATCCTTACTTGGAGATGTTGATCTTTCTTCCCGTGTTTTGTGGGACAGCAAAATGTCATCTAAGATTTCTCCCGAGGCATTCCTCTTGTTCTCCTCGATCTTTGGCACTGGAATTTCTTCAGTGGGATGTTGGTTTTCCAGGCTAGACATGTCTTCTTGAATTGTGGATGATACTCCAACATTCCTTTTCACCGGACGAAAGACATCAGTCTGACCTTAGTAAATGGATACTTTGAATGATATTTCCATGCAATTTATTAGCTCAAAGACGCAAACATCACCGATTTGTATGTTGTTATCCTTTACAAAAGTCTTCCAACCAGTTTGTAGACCTGCATATAGCAGCTCTCTCCCGTTTCCTATGCGGTATAAGCTAACAGTCCAAGTTTTCCCATTTGAATTGCAGAGAATTACCTCACAATCGTCTTGCATCAAATGTTTCCAGACAAAGTTGTTTGGCATAGCCTGCATAAAAGAAAATTAAGAAATAAATTTCAATTCAATAGGAGAAAGAAAAGGATTAAGGAGGTAAAACAAAGAGGTCTATTGCAATCAGTAGGAGTGAAAATATTTTTGTTCACTATCAACATATTTCATACGCAAGTGGAGTAATGGACTCAACACAAATCATAAGGTTTTAGTATGAGTTCAATTGATTACTTACCAGTCTCCATTTACCATTGAGACCAACATATGATGGTTGCATGACAAGCAGAAAAAACGGGTTTTCAGATTTAAAAGCTCTAGCTCTCTGAAGAGCCTTAGCCTTCTTATCAGCGTTCAATTTTTTAATCCTATGACGACTTGTTGTGCTTTTATCACCTTTTCTATCTGGAGATCCATTATGCCTAAAATGTGGAGCCAGAGATTCACACTTCAAATTGCTCTGAGTCTTGTTAGCTGAATTAGTACTTCTCATCATCTTATGAGGCCGAGGACATGGCAAATGCGATTTCTCCCCCGTTTTCCTGCTTGGGGAGATGTCCTCTAGGATCTGTAGAGAGTTATCATCTTCAGATTGCTCAATCTTCTGCTCTGGAAGTTCTTTGTGTTGCCTATGATTATTGCTGGTGTATGGATATTCTATTTCTGAAGCACTCCGATCAAATATGACCACATGGAAATTGCAATTTCCTTCATATCTAAAAATCAAAAAATGCCCGTACTCCAGAGAATAATGATTTGAAAATTCTTGCCAGCCATTTTTCAGCCAAACTTTGCCATCACATTTTGTTAGCTCTACCTTCCATACTTCATCATTTGGGACCCTTAGCAGTGCTGGGCTTGACATGCCATTTCCATATCTTTTCACAAACTTGGTGGGAATCCCCTATTAAAAGAACAAAAAGAAATGCACAAAAAGTGCACTGTTAATTCTCTGCATGCCGCAAACTGTTAAATCAAAAAAATCTTGCAGCTTCAGACTATTTTTCTATTATCTATTGTCAAAAAGTAATTAAAACTGATTTATCAGCATATAGTTATTGAAGTTAATGCAATTGGATCTCTTCACCAGTAACTTTCACACTAAGAACATTGTACTTCCACTAACAAAAGCTGATAAGATATATAAGAATCTGCAAAGACAATAAGATAGAAAAGCTAATGGGAAAAAACAAAGGGCATCCAAAATAGCTCATGAACATGCAAGGCATGATGATTTTGTTTCCTGTCAAATCCCAAACGCCATGGAAATAAATCAGTTTGCTTTTGTCATTCCCATTTTCACATTTCAGAACACAAATCACTAGTCCACAGAAGTCCATGCATGAACTAGTTACTCAAGAGATAATATAATATATCAGATGAAAAAGAGGGGGGAGTAGGAGCATGCTTACAAGTTTGCCATCCCGAAGAGTCTCTGGGAGAATTATCTTGAAGAAATGAGGCGATTCGCTTATAAACATTGAATGGTCATTGCCTTTCTGGTGAGAAGAAGCCATGCTAGAAAAGTGCCAGAATGAGTTTGAGAACTTAATGCAAAATAACTAGAATATGAATGGCTGTTTGGTTAATTAATTCTCAACCATTTTAATGATTTTTCCTTCTTATAAATGCTCAAAAAATACTTAGCTATCACTGATAGGTTCAATTAACTATACATATATGTGTGTATTTACATACAATCACAGATTTTCTTTCTCCAATTTTTATTTTATTTTATTTTACGGAAAACATTAAAAATTAGTACAAATTCCAACTTTTGTGATCATAAATTTTGGAAAAGAAAACTCATAATCAGCAATTAATGCAAATTCAGGAAAACAGAAGAACAGCTAGGTGTTGACTGAAAACTCCACTCTTTTTTGTCAAGAAAGGGCAAACTCCAAGGCGGCTAGGCCGTATGCTGGCCAGGAATCAGGGAATTATAGGCGGTTCAAGTACAAGGGCTGGCCCATCGGATTACAGATTACTTCCTCCAACAGATGATCGCCTACTTTTTGGTTGATGAATTGACATGAAAGCCTGGAACAAATCTTCCAAACTCATGACTTGGGAGATATGGTGGTTCCGTGAAGCATTTGCTCAAAAACCCAGCTGAGTGCCAGAGTTGGTAATGACAGGATAAGTAAAAGAGAGAGAGACAAAGCCCTGATCCAGGAATAGCTAAGCAAGAGTTAAATGTGAGTTTCTCGACGCAATAGCTAAGCAAAACTAGAAATAAGAGCACCAAAAAAACAGAACATTAATGCTAGATATTAAACCTTAATGAACAATTGTATAAAGGGAGGAAAATAGAAGTTCTTTAGATAAAACCCAAAGTGTCTCCTGATTGACTGAACCAAATTGCTTCCACAAATTGGAGCAATGTCCATCATAATTTAATGATCATAACTGAAAATGGATACTTTTAGCAAGCCTTCGCTCACTGTATTTAGCTCATAGACACATACATCTCCTTCTGCCAGAAAGTTTATCCTTTCAAATTCGATCCAGCCGCTTGTTAATTTAGCCATGCGATAATGCGGGTTGCTTGCTCTCTTGACAGGCCACGATCTATCTGCAACCTGAAGTATCACCACCTGCATTGAACGTTGTAAGTTGTAATTTTCCTTTGGAATCTGAAGCTTAGTTCCTCTAAATGCAGTGTCATTAGGTCTAAGATTTGGACCCAAAGCTTTTAAATTTGAATTGCTCCTAGTTTTGCAGGCTGAATTGGTTCTGATCATCATCTTACAAGGCTGAGGACATGGCAATGTTGATTTCTCTCCAGTCTTCCTGCCGGATGAATTATATTTTGCACCATTTATCTCAGGTTCTCGGAATTCTCCATTAGACTTATTTTTTCTTCAGAATAGGTGCCAAAGTATGGATATTGTATCTCTGAAGCGTTCATGCCAAATATGAGTACATCGAAATGGCAAATCTAAAAACCGGGAAATGTAGGGAGTGATTACTCTGCAAATTCTCGCCACCCACTATGCATGAAAATCAATAGCCACATTTTCTCAATGTTACTTGCCACCTTGCACCACTGGGGACCTTTAGGAATACGGGCTTGAGATAGCATTTCCATACTTTCTTACAAAACTTCTCTGGGATTTTCTACAGAAGAAAACTCCAATCATTAACATTATCAGCTTCTAATTTTGGTATAAAGCAGTTTCTGGATGCAACTTGATTAGCTCTAGTATCATCAGCTGGATTCCAAAAAATATATTGATCACTAGATTGAATTTCTCTTTTTTGGTAAGCCAATAGCTTCATTAATGGATCAAAATGATATCGAAGGACTGGTAAGGCTGAACACAGAAGCTAAACGTTTTGTTTACATTTTTTAACCTCCAGAATTGTTCCACTTAACAGTTCCATAACACCTTACAACACCTAGGATCATTCATATGTCATCCATAGAAATCCTTTACATAGCATAACAGCCCAGATTACAGGAAGCAATACCCCACCCTTTCCCTAACTACATTTTACCTTATGTTACATTACCACACACTAGTAACTTGTCACCGCTCCAAATTACAACCAAGCCACAAACAGGAATGTCATTAACTTAACAACAATAGATTGCTACTAAGTTTGGGGTGACACAGAATAATTTGCATCTGGTGCAGCTCAAAAAATGGAGACTTTGAATGAAGTTTCATCGCGGTTAATCAACTCAAAGACACATACATCACCTACTTGCAAGTTATTGTCCTGTACAAAAGCCCTCCAAGTATCATAGAATCTAGCTTTATGTTGTCCACTGTTGGTTACTTTAACAGAAAATTTAACAATCCATCTTCTCCCATCTGAAACTTGAAGGATGACTTGGTCCTCCTTTTCATCAACATATGTCTTAGCGAATTTGTATGGTATGTTCTAGCAAAAAGTGAGAAAAGAAAAATCAAAGAACCTGATATGAAAAAATTCTGCTCCAAATCAAGAAACTAAAGGAACTTATTAGTTCTAAATGGAAATTCAAAACAGCAATCATACTCAGAGAGACCAAAAAACAATCCACAGATGGAAAATGTCTCTGTCTAGTGTTTAGCAAAGCTTATGTAACCAACCTATAGAGATCAATAAAAGAAGTGAACCGAAAATTTTTTGGTAGAAATCTTACCACGCTACATCTTGCCCCGAGGTATGCTGGTTGCATGACAACCTTGAAAAAAGGATTTTCAGATCTGAAACTGCTAGCTCTTAGCATTGCTCTTGCTTTTTCATGGGAAGACAATGGTGGCATCAAGAGATGCCTGCACTTTGTGCTTCCCTGTGTTGACAACCTTCCATTATCACAATTTGCTAAAGAGTTTATTCCGCCCTATAATTATCAACATAATTACAAGAGAGCATTCAAACCTTGGCATGATATATGATAAAAAAATAAATTTTGGAAGTGCTATATATCACTGCTTACACTTCCATTAGTTCTCATTATATTATGAAAGCCTAGGATACATTAATTTAATGCTGATCCAATAGACATTTGGGAAAAACATATAAAGCCTGTGTAACATCTGAGACTTATTTGGAAGGCATCAATCTGATTTTTTAAATCTTGAGCACGAGATATAAAACGATGGCACAATGTTTGCAGAGACTTATAAATTTAGTTCCATTATTGATCTTGCAGTCAGATTCAATATCAACTACTAAGTTTTACTTGGATTTGAATTGTTTCAATCTGATATTATCATCTTGTTCCAATCCAAATTGAAGAAGATAGAGAAACGATCCTGATATGCAAGTTCTTGGATCAAAAAAAGACAAAATGACCTAGAAGAGTATTACTCAACCAATGAGGAATCTTGACTAACCCGGTGAATAACTACTTTCAACAAGATTTTAGTTTGCTCAATCAGCTCAAAGACACAGACATCACCAAGTTGCAACTTGTTATCCTGCATGAATGCCGTCCAACCGTTATGCAGAACTGCTTTTGTGTATTTGTTGTTGGTTAAATAGCAGTAATACTTAGCAGGCCAAGTTTTCCGGTCCAACGTGCAGAGCGTTACATCACCGACCTTCTCTTTCAGGCACTTTGTGATAAAGTTTAATGGTAAGCACTGTGCAGTAAAAAAAAAGTTCAAATGGCAAGAAGAAAACCTTAGTGTTACAAACAACATCAATTGAAATAAGATGCTCATAGTTTAACTAATCTCTACGTAAGAAATTATTTCTTAGACATAGCAAGTTTCATCAAGGCTTTACCACTTTTCGTCCAGGGTTAATGTATGAAGGCTGCATTTCAATCACAAAAAAAAAATTCTTCGATTTGAAAGCGGTGGCTCTTTGAAGAGCTGTAGCATGTTCGTTGTCCCCAAATGCATGTCTCCCCCTAGGAACCTTGGTTTTCAGGTATCCTTCAGCACTAGAAACATCTTCACAGTCTCTTTTATCTGAACAGGTCCTCCCACATAAAGGCAACACAATCAAGGAGTAGAATCAAAAGTATGACATGAACTTTATCTATTAATGCCCCAAACAGAGGATGGGGGGAAGTCAATGTTTGTTAACAGGGGTAGGAACAGCGACTATCTTGGAGTCCCAGACAAACAGAGGTTGCAAACAGGGGTTATGTAATGGTCCTATGGTCATATGGCTGTCCCGAGTCCCCAGTCTATCCAAGGCTAAAGACTTGCAACAGCGTTATGTATGTAAAACACAAGTTGAAACTCTTTATATAAGACAAGATAGAAAAGGATGAAGGTTAGTTAAAACTCTTTATCCAAACTGATCAAAACACAAGTTGAAAAAACGAATAGTAAAGAATGATACAGGCCCCAAAAATCTTTCATAAAATAGGTGAGTTATCATTTTCTTGAAATTTTTGTAGTTAAAACCCACTAGATTTGCAACCATATTAAACTTGGAACATCTAATGTAGAATTGCACTTACATTTGTCTGATAAAGTGGTTCGTCTCAGTATCTTACGAGGACGTAAACATGGTGTTTGTGAGTTCTGTCTCGTTTTCCTGACTCGAGGAGTCTCATACAATACTTCAACAGAACCATCTTTAGCTTCTTCTTCCTGGTTAGGTTCTCGACATTCTTCATCACGATCCATATTACGACTAATATGTGGATATTCTATTTCTGACGCACTCGTATCAAAAATGAGTACCTGAAAATTGCAGTCCCCTTGATACTTGAAAACCAGAAAATGTCCATGCTTTAGAGAGTAATGCTCAGCAAATTCCTTCCAGCCATTTTGTAACCAAACATCACCATCGGATTTTATCAGCTCAACATGCCATGTAGAGCCACTTGGAACCATGAGCTGTACTGGACTTGATAAGCTATCTCCATATTTTGTCACAAACTTTCTTGGAAACCGCTGTAGAATATACGTAACAAAGATCATGTGCAATGGCATAAGAATAAATAATTAAAAAATATTAGACAGGGAAAGAAGAATGCTCACGAGCTTGCTATATCGAATAGTGTCCTCTAAAATGATCTTGAAGAAATGGGGAGTTTTTGGTGTAAACATGGAAGGGTTAATCTCCCTCTGACTGCTAGAAGCTTTGTTCCAGGGACCCGCCATTTTGGGTACACGACTTCCTTTGACTACCCACGGTTTCTGCTAGAAGGAGGAGGAGGATAGAGAAAGGAAGAGAGAGGGTTCAAGTCTGTATTGTGCAGATGGCTGGAAAAAGTCATGGAGAAGAATTTTTTAAGTAAATTGGGCATGCACGAAGAAAGCTAGTAGTCAGACTGTAGTCCGATAGTCTTAGTATTAATCCAGCGAAGAGGCAAAAGGATTCTCGTAGGCTCTTACCTAGCTAATAATTATCTTATAAGTTTTCAAAACATAATTAATTATTTTTTGATACAATAAAATTCTTTTAAAATCATCCAAAATAACACAAAATCTTTTAAATAATAAATTACGCATTACTCATTAAAATAACTGTAAAATTCAAAATCACGATAAACTTGATGAGTTAGAATCAAATTTAAATTGTAATTCATTATTAAAAAAATAAAAATATTGTTATCCAATAGTTTGAACAGTTTTCAATAAAAATAAAATATCTTTAAATAAAAAAATCAAAATCCAATTTTGTTTGATTCATACTTGAGTAGCTTTCAAATCATATAAAATTTAAGTAGCAAAAAAAATTATAACTCAATATAAGATTCAAGCTAAAGTTACAAGTAATTAAAACTCACTTCATGCAAAACAATTTTTTTTAATAATTTTCAAGAATCTAAAATCTTTCATAGTTAATCTTTTAAGCCAAACATATATTCATGTTCTACTTATAAAATAATTATTACAACAAATTACAGACATCTAAATTGTATAATCTCTACATATTTTTAATAAACCCAACAAAAATCCCTTTTTTTTTTTTTCAATAGAAAGAAGATTTCTACTTACCTTGAGAAGAATAGCTCGATATGGCTTTTGGGTTAATCTCCGAGAGTTTGACCCTGCGAAGTCCTCCGACCCTAGAGAGAAAAGTTCTTGAATCCCATCTTTTCTTTTCTCTTATTCACGTTACTTTAGTATTTAAACAATATCCAACCCTAATTTGCTTATAAAATAATATATTAAGATAAACCCTAACTATAAGAAATTCAGAGATGAATTCCTTGATTTGATTATAAGCTTTTATAATACTCTGATCCGAAAAAAAAGAAAACCTAATAAGCTAAATAGTATTCTAATTTGATTTGGTTAACTCAGAGTATTAAATTGGTTTCTAAAACTTCTGGGTGTGATAATAGAATATAATTACTATTAATTGAATACCAAAAAAGTATTTTCTGGATAAAAATATTATGCAAATATGGAAAAAGATTCATTTTTGTATAAATATTGAACCATCTTTCCTCAAAATTGATACATTGAGCACGGCATTGCTTGAGTTAATCAATTCAAAAACACAAATATCTCCGATTTGAAAGAGTTTTCCGCTACGAATCTCGTCTTTTTAGCTGCGAACCTCGTAATTTTGCTAGTGTAGAATGTGTGCTGATTATCATTTTCACAGATCAAAATCGGATTACATGTTTTATATCGAGTTTAAAATATTTCTCGATAAATTTAAATAGTATATCTTTGTGTAAAATCAAAAATAAGAATTTATCAATAAAAAACTGAAAAGAATGCAGAACATAATTTTAACTGTACAAAAAAATCATTAATTATCAAGATGATCAAGGAAAAAGGGTTTCAATGGAATATTTATGTGAATTCATTGATCATAATCCCTACCACACGGCCAAGATACAGATGAGATGGCTGCACGATTCATCTGAAGAGTCGAATGTCTGCAGGAGGAGCTGGCGAGGACGAGTATGAATGTCTCTTAGGACCTTTTTCATGTATCAATTTGATTTGATAAACAATCATGTAATTCATAAATAAGAAACTAACAATAAGCTAACAAACATTACCTTGTGATGGATCACAATTCGCAGCATCTACAACCCGGTGAATGAATACTTTAAATGAGATATCAGCGCCTTTAAGCAACTCAAATACACAAACATCACCAACTACCAGATTATTATCCAGAGCAAATTTCTTCCAACCACCTGAAAATTGTCCTTGTGGGTTTCCATCGTCACCTCTGCGGTAGTACTTGACAGACCAGGATTTTCCATCTGAAAGGCAAAGGACTGTCTCACCCCCATGCGTCTTTGTAAAATATTTCCTAGCAAAGTTACTTGGTATGCACTGAAAAAAGAAAAGAGAGTGAGAGACTATGCTATTAGAAAGTGATTATTAAAAAATGAGTAGTAGTTATTTGCTCAGGTCTGACTAGTTCCCACTAGTACATATCACTTGAACATTGCACTAATTATTCAATATAATGATAGCAGGTTTTCGCATTTAAGGCTTACGTACCACTTTATAATTACAGCTTATGTGTGATGGTTGAATGACAACCAAAAAGAAAGGATTTTTTGAGTTGAATGCATTAGCTATCCGCAGTGTGTTCGCCTTAACTTTGGCTGTCAATTTTTGCGACCTCAGAATCTCAGCTTGTTCTGGGCATTCCCTCTCATTTTCAGTGCCTGTTCCTGTCCTTTTAGCAGGCTTAAGTCCTTCCATTGAAAATAAAGAAGAAAGGACAAATAGGAAGATAATATGAGCATCTTGCACTAGTCGAAAAAACATTAATTTCACAGAAAATAGCGATCAATATTTTACCACCAACTTCCCGCTTGCAGCAGCTTGAGCTTGTACTTCCCTTGGGCTTTGCAAGCTTAATTCCGCTAGCTTTGTTGCAAAAAGGTCTGAAACGTGGATCTATATATTCTGACTCCAATATCTTTTCAGTTTTGTTAATCATATTAATCTTCATCATCTTCTGAGGCCGAGGGCACTGGATTGATGATTTCTCTCTGGTTTTCTGGCATGGGCCAGCGTACTCTAGGATTTCAATGGTTCCATCATCTTCAGCTTCTGTACATTGAGATCTTGAATCTTTCCATCAGAATCAAACAAACAATAATAGTTCCTTCAATATAATCATGCCTGTGATTGTGTTATAGAATGACATTATTTCAGATGAAGAAAATAATACTAGAACATCTAATCTAAGGTTTGCTTTACAAAGCTGATACATATAATTAATTAAGATAAAGAAACCAATCAAGGAGAATCCTAAGGAATATTGTCTTTTGCTTGGAACATATCTATGTCAATATCATGATGGCAAGTCGCTATCATAGTGGTGCTCTCCTGGTGAAGCAACCAGACTACTCTTTTGAAGAACAGAAGCTTTAAAACAAATTTATACAGCTTCAAGAGTTTGTGTGAAGCCAGTGGCAGTGAACTCCATCGAGTCATTTGTACACCGTACCCTTCTCATGTTTCTATAGATTAAATCTTCCTACATTTAGTCAACTGGTGGTTGATAAATATTGTTCTTGTCTTGAGTATCTGAAGCATTTTAGCAGGTTAGTTTTAAAATTGGAAATGAGTAGAATCTTTAGTTTCCTGGGCTTGACTAGATTTAGCTTTTATCCAAATATTTGCAGCAAAGGGGATCAATACATTTAACTTGTCTACCCACCTAATTTTGATGAGGAACAACTTGCAACATTAGCATCTGGAAAAATGACAACGTCGAAGGAATTTCCATTTGCCTTTATCAGCTCAAAGACACAGACGTCTCCCACCTTCAAGTTATTGTCCAGCACAAATGCTCTCCAATTCCTACCACGAAATTTGCCTTTGGGACATTGACCATCTACTTCTCCATTGTAGTCAACAATCCAAGTCCTCCCATCTGAAACTCTCAGGGTGACTCCACCATTTTTCTTGAAATACCTCTTGACAAATTGGGATGGTATGCTCTGCCAAAGGAAAAGAAAAATAAATCTAATAAACGATGATATGCTCTGCTCCAAACCTGACACTCTCACCACATATAGTAGACTAATGGAAAAGCCATTTACTAAACTTGAATTATACGATTGGAATGAACGGAAGGCTTTGGGCAGAAATCTCACCAGAGAACCACCAGGAAGAACATATGATGGCTGCATCACAACAGTGAAAGATGGATTTGCAGATTTGAAAGCCATAGCCCGTTTAAGAGCTACTTTTTTCTCTGTTGTAGTCAATGGTTGCATTCTGCCCAGAAAGTCAGGCTTCGGACATCTCTGAGCACCTGACATCCTTACACTTTCATCGTTCCCAGAAAATTTAAATTCACCTGTTGAGATCAAAACATCTAAAGATTATAGAAGCAGAAACATGGCATAACTTTCGCCAAACTCATAAGCATTTAAACACATTGAAGATCACCCGCAAGTTCGTTCGATGAATATTGGAAATCCAAGCTCTTCTTTTGTTTCCCAAGCTCGATCCCTTTAACTTGACCTGGATTGGTTTTCATCATCTTACAGGGCTGAAAACCTGGGAATGGCAATTTCTTCTTCGTTATCTGGTTTAGTGGAAAGTCATCCAATATTTCAATAGATGTATGGATATTCTCGTTTTGCTCAATCTTTGGCACTTTAAATTCTCTGCTTGCACGTTGGTTTTGCAGACAATTAGGTTCAGTATCACTGAACAAGCGCCTCTTTTTTACTCGATAGGCTATGCTCTCACCAGCTAGTTACCAAAAGAAAATACATCAGAAGAAAGTATTAGCCTGATATATATACAGACTGACCCTTGAATGAATGCCTATGAGAGAGCCTACTCACCCAGTTGCCTGGCTGCTATGGCATCTTCAACAAACCGTTTATAAATGATTACTTGCAACAAGATTTCAGGTCTCGTTCTAGTTAGCTCAAAAACGCAGACATCACCGACTTCCAGAGCATTATGCTTTGCAAACTCCTGCCAACCAACGCTGAGTTGTGCTCTTGGATTATCAACGTTTGGCCTGCAGTAGTACTTTGCAAGCCAACTTTGCCCACTCGAAATACGTAGGATCACATTACCCTGCGTCATATTGAAATATTTCCTAGCAAAGCTGTCCGGTACACTCTGGAATATCAAAGATGGAAACAAATGAGAGAGATTTTCTTTCAAACGTAAAGGATGTATGCTTTTGCTCGTTTCTTTAATGCACCACCAAAGAAAGATTCTTTGCTGAAACTTGAAAGCTTACCATTCTATATGAGAAGCTAACATATGATGGTTGCATAACCACCATGAAAAATGGATTTTTAGTTTTGAAGCCACTGGCTTTCTGAAGAGCTTTAGTTTTCTCATCGGCTGTCAAATGTCCAACCGTCTCGAGAACCTCGATTTGTGGGCTTGTCTGACCCGTAACTCCAACTCCCATTGTAGCTGGAGCTGAAATCTTTGACTTCAAATGGGTCCCAAATTGATTGGGTGAATCAACTTTCATTTCCTTATTAGATTGGGGATCTGGGATATCTGATTTACTTTTGCTTTTCTTGCATGCTAAAGCATTATCAAAGACATCATCTTCTTCTGCAGTGTTAGTGTGTGCGTATTCTATCTCTGAAGCACTCATATCAAAAATAAGTACATGAAAATGAGCATTGCCTTCATATCTAAAAACCAGAAAATATCCATATTCCAGTGAGTTATGCTCTGCAAATTCTTGCCAACCCTTTTGCAACCACACCCTTTCATCACACTTCGTCAGTTCAACCTGCCATACTGCACCACTTGGGACCTCAAGATGAATAGGACTGGACAATTGCCTTCCATATTTTCTTACAAAATTTGTAGGAATCCCCTGCATAAAACCTTTAATTAAGGCATGCAAAAAAATATAATATACCTAGCATATGCCAAAATAATGACCATATCCCACATGAAATGCATTGTAGCTTGTCTGCTAGCTCTCTTCATTCATTACATGCATGGTAAAACTTTACACTGCTCTAGAATTTAGAAAGACATTCCTGTACTTTGATTCTGATAATCATCAAACATAGACTTGTCCGACTAAGGAAACCGATGCATGAACTGATTACAAAAGGAAATGGTATCAAATAGAGAAAGAAGAATATACTTACAAGTTTCCCATCTCGGAAAGTTCCGTCAAGAATAACTTTAAAAAAATGGGGCGTTTTGGACGTAAACATGGAATGCTCATTGTCTGATCTACGATGATGAAAAGCCATAGTGGAACCGCTCCAGAGTATATTCAATAGCTTCGCATGAGAGCCTCTGCAAACAAGGCTAACATATACTTCATGAGCTCGCTGAGCACTGTTTGCTCAATCAATTCTCATCTGCCAGAAGGAAATGCGAGTAATTACTCCAATTTTGATGATGGATATTAATTCATTGTTTCTGGGCTCGCGGAACTAGGGGTGGATTCATTAATAAGCCAGAGGTTGGTCATGTAACTTTAAGTGCTACCGTTTTGTCTTCCTCCCTCTGCCACTCCTACTGCAGCCAACTAATTAATCTATTGTTCTAGCACTATTAATCTATTACCGCCCGGTGCGAAGTACTGTCGCCTTCGTAATCGAAACATTACGCGATGCCTCGGAAAGTGAAACGATAAAACATTTATGATTTTAATTACGATTCTCTAAATTCATATTCGTATATAAATTATTATCATTTATCTAAAATCTCTAAATAATAAAAATTTAAATATCAATTACATGTAATAATAAGGCTATCACCGTAATTAGTAATGTCACAGCATAACTATACTCGTTTACAAAATAAAAATAAAAGGAATGAATAATTATAGCTCAACAAATATACTCACATATATTTTAACAGAGTAAGTATCATTTTCAATTAATAAATTATATTTTCAAAATAGTTAAAGAAGCATTATATCCAAATGAATACTTTTGTAAATTTATAAATTATTAACAAATAAATACAATTCTTTAAATATTGTATTGAGTAAATCACAAATTTAATCTTGAACGCTCACAAAATTTTATCATCTTTAGCTATAATCACTATTATAATTTGTGACAATAATTGTATCGATAATATCTTTCTCATGATCGTTATTAACTATTTTCACTCTTAGTAGGATTGTGTGTGGTAACTATTTTATCTTGTTAGTAAAATTGTAAAATTAGTGTTAGTAGTGATTATTCCACTTCTCAATAAACAATTTGCAACTCGTACAATATTTTTCAAAAGATTTCACATCTTATTCATAAATTAACATTCATTATATGAATAAAAAAAATTTATATGCTTAACCTTATTTTTATATAAAAAATAATAGAATGAAATGTTAAATTCATTTAAAAAAATATACATAAACAATAGTTTCAAAAAAGTATGGTGTTTGAAATTTTATTACTTACTTCCCCCCACTCCAACAACTTGTTATATCTCAAAAACAATAAAAAAACTTAATTATAATCATTTAAACATATTAGAAACAACGACACCCTTTAAAATCTATTAATTATTTTGAAACTAAGAAAATTAACTCAAAATCTCCTAAATAATAATTTTGACAATTTATATACCACTCATTGTAAATAGTTGTACTTTAAGCTACAAAACTTGAAATCATGGTCCGTTTTGTGTATTAAAAACTATACTTATTAAGCTCTTTTCATCAATACAACAACTAACACGTAAATTAGTGTGTAAAGGAAAAATATGAGAAATACTCAAAATTGTCCCTAACAATGTTGTTAGGTTGCTTGAACAATTTTTAGAAAAATATTTTTACTTTGAAAATTCAAAATTCACTTCCGTTTGGTTCATTAGAAAATAGACTCACATAGCTTTTTATTTATATAAAATTTAAATAGTAAAACTCTATAGATCAATATGTAAATGAAGGTAAAGTTACAAATGTATGGGACTTAGCTTTTAGAATAAAGATTTTTCCAAAAATTTTTTCATAAATTCTAATCTCAAATTCTTGCAACCCAGTAAGATTTTTTTCAAATAAAAAGAGAGTTTTTACTCATCTTGTAAATATGAATTTGACTGTAATCTTTAATTTTATTCTTCAAACTTGATCTTAAAAATTCTCAAATCTAATATAAAAGGAGAGATCACTTCTTTTGCTTTTGTTTTTTTTTTTGTCAAAAAGAAAAAATGACTACTTGAATTCTGATCTTTCATTTATTTTCTAAATATCTAATATAAGGAAATATTTTAGTATAGATCCAAACTATTTTTAAATAATCAATAAGAGTTCTCTTTCATTTATTTTTTCACCAATACAACTTTTTATTTGTAATAAGAAATGAGAGTTTGCCTTTGAATTATTATGGAATTAATGCATTAATAAATATATTAATATAATATGTCTACCTAGCCTTGCTCAAAACACCACTTACTAAATGGTGACCTTTCCATTGGAAATCGTAAGTAGCATTTACCAATTAAATTGGAATTCCAACTTTTAAGTGTAGTTCAGAGTTAACAGTCATATTATTAGTTAATTCTTATCTATTAAAATATAAAAGAATTTTATAATTTTAGTCTTGCAATGAAATTTTCATTATTAGTCAAGTAATGAATATCATTGCTAAATTTCTTCATATATTCTTTCTCTTTCTTTTTTGGTACTTATAGGCTATAAATTAAATTACGAATTATTATTACCTTATATATTATAATTTATATAGGATTTACTATTATCAAACTTTTCGCGCATTAACATGATAAGATGAGGAATCTGCAATCTTGCCAAAGGGTAAAGTGCAATGTACACAAGTTTACTTACAGGTCAGTTAATTGCAACTGAGGTACAATGGGTTCCTGGAATGACGTAATCAACACCATTTTCTCATACCATCCAACACCAAATAGACTGGTGCGTTGCACAACAACAAAAACTGGTAAACAAAGGAAAGATTACATAGTATTTTATACATTTGCATGCTTGTTTCATCTCCCACTATTTCCATATCCAGCCTTGCCAACAATCTCGACGTGTATTGCATTACCTGTGCCGCGAATGTGCTGAAACAAAAGGGTATCTCCAGCTACTATTCTGTTTTCCAGTCGAAAATTGGACCATCCAGCACTCAGCCGAACCTGTCTAGAACCCACCGAGATGCCCAGTGGCCACATCCTACCTTTCGGGTCCTTGATCACCGTGCTCCGCTTGTCTGCCAACCCAGCTTCTCTGGCAAATCTACTCGGAACAACCTGCCATTTTTATGTATATATTTATATATAAAGAGTGATTAACAGCATTGAATTGAGAATAAAAAAAACCAAGAAGTGGTTCTTACAACAGAGAATTTCTGGTATTTTTTCAAAACCACTATGAATGAAGGATGTTTGGAGATTGCTTCTGATACAACCTCAATCTGCTGACCAACATTTATTACCCTTCTAGCAGGCGCACCTAAACATGCATGGATCATTAAGATGAGAATAAACTAAAGTAATGAAAGCGATTATTGGAACTGTTGCGCATGAAATGCACAGTTAAAAGAGTAAAGCTTACGAGTGATTCTACAGCCAGGAGAGACTCTTTTTGCTTTTTGGAAACTTGAAGCCGCAGTTTCGCTTGGTGTTACTTCATTTGATTTCTTAGGTCTACCTCTTTTTCTCTTAGCCTTAAGAACAATCTTCTTTTCACATCCAGTTGGATCGTAAATGACACAATCAAAACTCGATTTACCGACCAAATTAAACACTACAAAATCTCCTGAATCCAGGCCTTGATCTTCCACAAAATTAGACCATCCCCCACAGAAGAAGTAGCTTCCTTCTGTATTCTGAACTGTTACCCGCCATGTACTCCCGGAGTTAGATTTCAAGGTGAAACTCGTGGGTACATTTCCTTGGAAATTCTTCACGAACGCAGGTGGTATTCTCTGTTCCAACATTAAAACAAAAAGCATTTAATTTATAAGCAGCAATAAATGTCTGTTAATAAACAGCAGAGCTGTACGGGATTTGAACTTACAAGCTTGTTAAAAAAGAGTCCAATCAAGACCTTGAAGAAGGAAGGGTTCTGTTTTAGCTCCCCAGCCATTTTCAAAGCTTCCATTAATTTACCCAAGTAGTTGCATTAAATGCTGCAGTTTCCCAATCAGATTCTTTGGATTCTCTCCATTTTCATTTTCGGCTTGTTAAGCAAAAGATTTTCCATTGCGTAAGCTTGATGCGCCGCCAAAACAAGAAAGCTGTCGACCCCGTCAGAGATTCTGACTAAGCTCCCTCACCATAGTCAACAACTCAGATGATGATCTTCCACAAGCGTGCTATAAAATCAGCCCCAGATTTTTCTCTTCTTTTAATAGGATTTTCTTTAAATAAGTTTTTGTTTCTTGTTTTTATTTGGTTGCATTACTGAAGTTTTTTATACTGCAAAAATGATTCTAGACTTTAGATATTAAATTCAAAACACTAATTTAGATTCATGAATAAAACAAATCCATGAGTACATCATTTGTATAAATTCATGAATAATTAAGTTGACGAATTTATTCCAAATTTAAAGTTTAAGCACCTTATGGCATTTCACCTTCTTACTGAATTGTTTTGATTTAAGCTTAAAACTACTCAAAACTAGAGGTGGGAATGGGTTGGGCTCGAATTGGTCTTTGTATTAAGAATAAAAGCACTTATTCAAACCCAGCCCGACCAAAGAAAAAGCCCAACCCAAAGAAAATCAATACCCCAAAGCCACCACATAGAATCTGGAAATTTATTTAAAAATAAACACCAGATTTTTTCACTTTTTATTCCTTCAGAAAAAGGAGTTATTCAATTTACTGCAAGTTTACAGATAAAATAAATATATAATATAATTATATATTATGAAAATTATATTTTTATTTGTACTTTTGAGTGCAATGTTAAGCACTGATCTGATCTGAACATTCGGGATTTATCCTTGACAAAACTTAAACCCCTCAACTAAACCCCTGCAGATGTTACGCCACCTCCTAACCACGGTCCGCCACCGTTCAACCACCGCACTCTACAACCACCACCACCGCCACTTATATCGCTCAGCCTCCTACAAACACCCCAAGACCCCAACCCCGCCGTCCCCACCGAAGCCTCCGAAAGCCCCTCAAAAGCCCCAAACTTTCACTTTCCATGATGTCACTTGGGAAGATCCTTACTCCTGGATGTCTTCTCTCCAAGACAAAGTCGCCATGCGCCACATGGACATGTATATGGAACAAGAAGAAAAGTATACTGAGGCTGTCATGTCAGATACTGAACGTCTCCAAACTAAGCTCCAATCTGAGATGGCTTCTCGCTTGGACTTTGACCTCTCTACCCCTCCACTCCGTTGGGGTCCCTGGTACCCATTTAGTTTTTTTTTTAATATAAAGAAAATGAAACCGGGTATTTAGTAAAACCTTGAGTTTTCTTATGTACGGATTGGCTGTTAAATATTACAACTTCTATTTTGCTTTCGAAAACGATAAGTAATAATGCGGGTTGGATACAAAGTAATTGCTTATAATAGGCAAAATAATTGCTTATACTTTTATAGGAAATAATCTTCTTTGAATGCATTTTTACGCAAACCTTTGAGTCCATTATTGTTGTTTATAGGCTTTTCTTATGGAAAATGTTTATGGATACACGGCGGAAATCCTAGTGAGCTCATTGGTTAACGTGTTTTTGTTATGTTACTTTATTATTGTATCTGATTATATCTTATGAGAACGAAGATGGGTAGTTTAGTTGAAATCTGAATAACTTTGCAGGCTGTATTATAGAAGGGTGGAGGAGGGGAAGCAGTATCCAGTGCTATGTAGGAGATTGGCGAGCTTGAATGAGGAGTTCATTTCACATAAGTCTCCCAGTGCTGGATTTGATTTTACATCTGGGAAGAGGATTGAGCAGAAGCTGCTCGATTACAATCAAGAAGTTGAGAGATTTGGAGGTATCGCAGCAAATGGAAGATTACCTTCTTTCCTTTTTTTGTATTTGCTTTTGCGACTGCATTTGACATTGCTTTCTCAATATGTTTAAAGGTTATGCTTATGAAGAATTATCAGAGATATCACCGGATCATAAGTTTCTCGCATACACCATGTATGATAAGGACAATGACTACTTCAAGTTATCTGTGAGGAATTTGAATTCTGGTGCATTATGCAGCAAGCCTAATGCAAATCGTGTTTCAAATTTGGCATGGGTCAAAGATGGGCAGGCATTGCTCTATGTCATTACTGATGAAAATAGGAGGCCACATAGGTAGAAGGTCTACTGCTTTTATCAATTTCGCTTACTTGTCTATTCATAATTGTTTGGTTGTCAAATGAATTTAACAAAATCTAGTTGGAAATTTGTTTTCTTTTTAGGATATACTGTAGCATGATTGGATCAACTGAAGAAGATGTTTTGCTGCTGGAAGAACAAGATGAAACTGTGTATGTAAACATAAGGCACACGAAGGATTTCCATTTTGTCACTGTTAATACCTTTTCTCCTACATCTTCAAAGGTATCTGAAAAGTGAAAATTGCTTGTTATCAGCTTTCAATTGTTGTAAATTGATTATGCTCAAATGGTGTAACAATCATTATCATCTTTTAGGTCCTTCTGATAAATGCAGCTGACCCATTTTCTGGCATGACATTAGTTTGGGAGAGTGAAGGTATTGTCCACTGCATTCTTGATCATCATCAGGGATACCTCTATTTATTCACAGATGCAGCCAAGGATGGACAAGTAGTTGATAGTCATTATCTTCTTCGCAGCCCTGTTGATTGTCCATCCAATCCTAGAATTTGGGAGGTTGGTGAATTAATTATGACTTCCTTTGTTTCTTTTTTATTCTTCCTGTGGCTTGTAAGTGCTTCCTCTTCTTTTGTGTACATGTCTTTTGCCCAAGGCTGATTCATATGTGCTCATACCTGACCACATTTCATGCTCTTCTTTAATGCTACTTCTGCTTGATGTGTTAATAAAGTAATCCTATGTCTTATGTGCCACAGAGTGTATTCGTTGATGATCAAGACTTAGTCATAGAGGATGTTGATTTCTGCAACTCACACCTGGTACTTATTACTAGGGAAGGTCGAAATTTTGGAATCTGCTCTGTTGCTTTACCATTGCCTGGCGGGAAGGTGAAAAAATAAGAGAAAATTTTCTTTGTTTGTGTGGTTATCCCTCTTTCTTTCCCCCTTGTTCCCCTTTTTCTTTCTGGGCATATTTACATCTTCTCTGTTCCTGTCTTCTGTTGTTATGGCAGCAAGCAGTTCATCTGAGAGAGCTTAACCCTCAATTCCTTCCTCTTCCAAAGCATGTTTGTAAAATTTCTCCTGGGCCAAACTATGACTTCTATTCCACAACTATGCGATTCACAATATCATCTCCAGTGGTATGTAAATGACTACAATCTGAACATTATTTAGCTCTTTATATAGCAATCCATTCCCTTATAATCTCTACTTATTGGTAAGTTTGTACAAATTTTATGCACAGATCCTGGTTAAACATGGTTAGAAAACAAAGCAAGCTTAATGGAGATAAATGCTGGTGTCAATGATGGAAGATATGTTGTCTCTACTCTTAGAATATGGGTTTTGAGTTTTGCATAAAGCTGTATAATCAATTTGTTTCCTGAATGGCATCTAGGGATTAAAAATTTTTGTTATGACTTGTGATTGATTTGAATTTGCCTGTCACCTGCTGCATTTGGTGCAGCAACTGTTCATGTTTCTCCTCTAGGATGACTAAATATGTGACATTTAATAGCGCACATGGCAGCATTTCCATTCATGAATTTAAGTAATATTTTTAGTTATGTGTCTCTACTTTTCACATCTTGTTTATCCATGTTTATCAGATGCCTGATGCTGTGGTTGATTATGATCTATCAAATGGCAAGTGGAATATCATTCAACAGCAAAATATACTTCATGAAAGAACCCGGATTTTGTATGGTACAGCCTTATCTTCGGCCATTGCTGAGAAATCAACAAATGTGAAGAATTCTTCCATGAATGATGTCAAATCTGAAGATGATAACCTGTGGAATGACCTCTCTGAATTTTATGCTTGTGAACATTACGATGTCTCTTCTTATGATGGAACTGTGGTTCCTTTAACTATTGTTTACTCATGCAAAAATAGAAAGGATAAGCAAAGCCCTGGATTGCTCCATGGACATGGAGCTTTTGGTGAAATACTTGTTAAACAGTGGCGAAGTGAATTGAAAAGCCTTCTTGATCGTGGTTGGATTGTTGCTTATGCTGATGTAAGGTTTGTTCTCATTACTCAATTATAGTAGTTCTCTGGCTGCCATCATTTCAGTTTTCTATAGCATTTGAGGTTGTTTTTATTTCAGTTTTCTATAGCATTACTGGCTGTCTTTATTTCAGTTTTCTATAGCATTATTTGGTTTTATCCGACTGTATGAAATGGTTGTCATATTTTCTCCAGAAATACGGAATTACTTTCAGTTTTTTTATATCAAAATTGCATGCATAACACTTAGTTTCTTGGTTTATGGGTGGTTTGGTTTGCAGAGGTGGTGGTGGTAGTGGTAAGAAGTGGCATCATGATGGCAGAGGCACAAAGAAACAGAATTCCATTAGAGATTATATCTCTTGTGCAAAGTACCTTGTTGAAAAAGAGATTGTGCAAGAAAACAAGCTTGCTGCTTGGGGGTATAGTGCAGGAGGATTGCTGGTTGCCTCAGCCATCAATTGCTGCCCAGAGTTATTTCGTGCTGCAGTTTTGAAAGTATGATAAATATCAGGGGCTGCTTTGGATTTGCTTAAATTGTACTTGCTGCATAGTCTTACTTTGCTTGCACTGGTCAGACACATTGGCTTGCATCATTCTTACAAAGAACAATCTATCTGTTATTGATATTCCTTTGGTTTTTTCCCTGAGTTGTGATAAAGGAAGTAATAGGGCAGAAAGTGAATATTTACCTTTATATGCCTGTTAGGATATGTCACTAGGTAGTATAGAACTTCATATGGATATAGGCTGATTTTATTTTATTTTTTTTAGTTCTAGGTAATTCATTTTCATCTTTTTATCTGATTCAGGTTCCATTTTTAGATGC